CAATCTGCCAAAAGGCAGTGTTGTCAGCTTGCCCTTCTTTTCTGCCAGGTGTGTGTGGGGAGGGGGGGGCGTGTTAGTGGTGATTATGTAAATCCAGCCAAGCACCAGGAAGGAATATGACCCAGGCCCACTCAAGAATGCAAATAATCTCCTTTGTCTTGACTTTTAGTAAAACTTCCTGGTATTTGGGATATTAAAAAAAAACACTGCATAGGCTCTGGGTCACTGTCTCTCCATCAGAAGAGGGCAGGGGTCTCACCCAGTCCCAGCTATTTACAATAGTTCTGTACTTACTTGCTTGCTAAAACAATAGAAAAGTTATTTTTATCAATGGATTGAGTACGACATTGATGGTGGTTTGAATGTCCCATTGATTGTGATCTCACTGGTTATTGAAGCATATTCTTCTGGGAACCAGGACAGCGCCATTACCCTAAATTCGTTCAGGTTGTCTCAGTGGTCCTGGGATCAGAACAGCACAATTACCCTAAATTGACTCAGTAGCTACAGATAATGTGTTTCTGTTGATTCAGTGATCCTTAGACCCAAAACTATAATTAATCTTTATAGATAACTAACTTGCTCAATTTCACTTCTGTAAGTGCTTTGTGCAAACAGCAGGGTTAAAGTTAAGGTTAAAAAACTGCAGTTTTTACCTGAGATGATTGCTACCATACTTCCCTGGCGGTAATGAGACGGCTCAGCCACTGTGGAAAGCAGCCTGGCGATTCCTCAAAAAATTAATAGAGCGACCACACGACTCAGTGATCCCTTTCCCGGCTCCATGCCCCAGAAACTCAGAGCCATCCATCCGCAAAGACATACGCGCCTAATGTCATCGCAGCCTTGCTCATGGCGGCCAGAACACGGAAACAGCCCAGGTGCCCTGCGACAGGACGGATCGAGAGGGCTGTTCACACACAGCGGATACTGCTCAGCCAAGAAAGGATGACTCACAGCAGCATGGGTGGACCATGCGAACATTGTGCTGAGTGAAAGGAGTCAAACGGAAAGAGCTAAGAACCACCTGATGTCACTCGTGTGTGGGGTATGAATCTGAAAGCCATGAACACAAACAGCACTGAGGTGGTTGTGAGAGGGAGGGGGTGGGGCAGAGGGGTCCTAACCTGAGGTGACAGGCAAAGATGTGACTCTGGTGGGCACACGGGGCAACATACAGGTTTTATAACTTAGAAACCCATGAAACCTGTGTGTTCATGTTGGCCAATGTCACCCAATCAATTTAACAAGTATTAACAAGTTAATAAGCAAAATAAACTGCCCAGTTTGTAGGACTCTGTTTTGGTGGCCAGGGACACCTGTGTGGATGTTTAGCATGTAGGTGGGGCAGACATGGGCGTGTCACCATGGAGACGGCATCCTGTGCAGAAGTGCAAGGTGGGGCGTGTGGAATGCAAAACCTGTGTACTTTCCCCGACTGCTGAGGGAGGGAGGCCCAGGAAGGGAGGCCCAGGAAGGGAGGCTGAGGGAGGGAGGCTGAGTTCGCCGTGGTGTTGTCCAAACACCCATGTCCGCCCTGCGTCTTACCTGAGTGTGTTCATTACTCACCCTGATTCTGGACCTCCTGTGGCTGCCGTCCTGCACTGCCGTCCTGGGCTGCCATCCTGGGCTGCCGTCCTGGGCTGCCGTCCTGGGCTGCCCTCCTGGGCTGCCGTCCTGGGCTGCCGTCCTGGGCTGCCGTCCTGGGCTGCCATCGGTTTCCCCGCCACCTGGCTGCCTCACACGTGTTTAAGCACTTACTATAGAAAACATAAAACATTGCCAATTTAGGAAGAATCACCTAATAAACCCTTTGGTGCCAGAGCCCGGCTTCAGTGGGACCGTGCTGCTCCTCGCAGGCACTGTGCACATGGCAGTGCCTCTTCTCGGCTGGAGGGCTTCGGAGCGGACACTCCCTCCCTGCTCTCCGTCAGGCCCGGGTGATGGTAAGGATCTTTACTAACAGAAGCCGTTATCCCAACCACAAACCCACAAGAACTTTACGTCTTCTAACCCCATGCTCCTTCCACTGTCCCACTTGTCCCAGAAGGAGCTGCTCTGGTTGTGTCTCTGGGAATATTTCTTCACCCCACCCCCGCCCCCTTGCTATTGGCTTGTCAGAGAAACCAGATCACTCCTAGAAAGACCTGTGTTCAGATCTTCTTCCTCAGCTCGTCCATTCGCTCCCCCGAATCAGTGGCGGGGCCAGACCTCAAGGTCCGATTAGACTCAGTGGCACAGGCTCAGGCGGTGCTCTCTGCACTCAGGCTGCTGGGCGGCTGGTGCTCTCCCCTTGGAGACTGAGCCTGAGGGCGGCTGTGAGCGGTGTCTGTCCGTGAGGCCACCGTGAGCCCCCCCCAACACACACCCCCGAGTTGAGGCCGGGTGCCTGGCCCTGTGGCCTCCTCAGAGGCTAAAGTGACGGCTTTTCTCTGTCTGTCCTTCATTTCTGTCCTGGCCCTTGAGGACCGTGGGGCAGACCCTACACTCCTGACCACGTGGTTCCCCTGAGCCAGTTCGCACTGAGTCGGGTCCCATGTCATTTAATCCCTTCCTCCCTGGAGTGAGTCCCGGGAGGGAGAGGCGGGGAGCCGCTCTGTCACTGCGGCCTCCAACCCTGGGGTCCTTGGTCCCGCGTCCAACTCCCCATCTTCCCAGCACACCCTCTGAGCTTGAGGACAGGAGGGAGGGCGAGGCAGGCCCTTCCTGATGAGCAGCATGCCTGGTCCTTCCCCAGCCATCCCGCCATTTTCTGCTCTTAAACCCTAAGACAACCCCTGGAGGGCGCTCGCCTGCAGCCCGCCCTCGGCCCGCCCTTTCTGCGCCTGCTCTGGGCCAAGTGTGACCTCGCTGGACCTGGAGTCTCCCGGGGAAGGCCGCAGCCCTGCCCCCTCCTCCAGCCCCGCTCCTGCAGGACCCGGAGCCGGCCCCTCTGCACCCTGGGGCTCGGCCCCATCCCCCCAGTCACCACGCTCCGGCTCCTTCTTACCCTCAAACTCGGGCCCCTCTGCAAACCTGCCCTGGCAGCTTCCTCTAGGGTGGCACAGGGTAGCAGGGGGTAACTCTCTCCTGCGCCCTCCTCGCTGTGCTCGGCTGTGGGTCACCAAGTGGGCAGGGGCCGCTCTGTGGTCCCGTCAGGTCCCCCAATGGGGCGAGGTGCCCTCTGGCGGGTGCTTCTCCTGGAACCCGGGCCGGCCAGGCCTTGGCATTCTGGAGGAGGAGGATGCCGTGGGGAGGGCAGAGGAGGGAGCGCTCCCCCTGAGAGCAGCCCCCTGAGACCTCCTCCTAAGCCTGTGTGAGGGGGCCCGGCTGCCGGGAGGTTCGGGGGATGGAGAAACCCTGCGGGACATTCACCTCTTGTTCTCGGATGATGGGTGACGCCCAAGGCAACCACCAACAGGTGGCCTGGCCCCGCACGGTCCCTGCAGTTCCCTCTCCCGCTCGGGGGCTGAGCTGGGGAAGTCTTATCACTGGCACTAAACTGGGGGACACGGTTTGCGCCCTCCTGCCCCGCAGACAAGCACAGACAGAGAACAGGCGTCTCAGGCCTGCCTGGTTTCCCAGGAGCAGGAATGGGGACAGGAGGGGGCAGGGCAATGCGAAGGCAGGAGGGGGTGTGAGCAGACATGCCTGGCTTCCACTCCGGGCTCCATGGACACGGGGACAGGAAGGGGCGGGACCTCCAGGGAGCTGGGGGTGCACGCTGGCACTTAGAGCCTGGGCGAGCCTGCCAGGCAGCCAGCATTCCTGCGCGGCACGGCTCTGCCAGCTTTGAGGCATATCCCGCACTCGCTCCGGCTGGCCTCGCCCCCACCCCAGACCCCCGGCCCCGCTCCCACCCCAGACCCCCGGCCCCGCCCCCACCCCAGACCCCCGGCCCCGCCCCCCACCCCAGACCCCCGGCCCCGCTCCCACCCCAGACCCCCGGCCCCGCCCCCACCCCAGACCCCCGGCCCCGCCCCCCACCCCAGACCCCCGGCCTCGCCCCCACCCCAGACCCCCGGCCCCGCTCCCAGACCCCCGGCCTCGCCCCCCACCCCAGACCCCCAGCACCGCTCCCACCCCAGACCCCCAACCCCGCTCCCACCCCAGACCCCCGGCCCCGCCCCCCACCCCAGACCCCCGGCCCCGCCCCCCACCCCAGACCCCCGGCCCCGCCCCCCCCCCCAGCCCCCCGGCCCCCCCCCCCCCCCCAGACCCCCGGCCCCGCCCCCCACCCCAGACCCCCGGCCCGACCCCCCCCCCAGCCCCCCGGCCCCGCCCCCACCCCAGACCCCCGGCCCCGCTCCCACCCCAGACCCCCGGCCCCGCTCCCACCCCAGACCCCCGGCCCCGCCCCCACCCCAGACCCCCGGCCCCACTCCCACCCCAGACCCCTGTACCCCAGAAGGGCAGCCCGACTCCTTCCAGCGCAGAGGGAGCAGCATCCTGTGGGAGCTGGGCTTGCAGGTAAGCGCTGCTCACCCGGCCTGCGTCCACAGCGGCTGCCTGGGCCTCCCGGGTCCTCTCATCCTCCCGCGCCCTGGCCGTACCCTGCCACCACGTGTTATCGTGTTGTGGATGGAAGCCCACTCCCCCGGCTCCAGAGGGAGGCCTGTCCCTGCCATCAATGCAAGAGCCCCGGGGATGGCACGAAACTGTGGTGTGAATGAATGAATGAATGAATGAATGAAGGTGTGAATGAGTGAAGGTGTGAATGAGTGAACGAAGGGAGCCACTGAGCAGGACCCCAAGGAGGCGGGAGGGATCCCGGGGGTGGCGGTGCCTTCTCCACAAACAGCCCTGCTTTTCTTCCCCCAAAGTCCTGTGCTCCCTGACCTCACAGCAGGTCCTGGGGCAGGAGGTTAGGGGGGGAGGTGGAGCGGAGGGGGGTGCTCTGCCATCTACCGCGGGTTTCTGGCAGAGGCGGGCTCAGGAGCACTGTCCCCTCCCTCCTCTGGGTCCTGGCATCTCACTGGCCGCAGAGCAGACTCCCCACCGGTGCCCTCCTCCCACAGGCAGCCGCGGCCGGCCCGCGGGGCGAAGCCAGCCGGCGCCCGGCTCGCTGTGGCCGGTCTGCGTGCCACCCAGGGAACATGAAGGGGGCGGCGGGGCACACGGTCAGGGGGCCGCTGCACAGGCAGTGGGACCTGGAGAGGACGCACGCCAAGCAGGCCGAGGCCAGGCTCAGCCAGCACCTGCAGAGCCTGGAGCGGGCCCGCCTGTGCCGGCTCAGGCTGCTGGCCTGGGAGCAGCGGCAGCTGCAGAGACAGCTGCAGAGGCTGCAGACAGGTAACCGGGAGGGGCGGGCGGGGCCTGGGCACACGGCTCAGGGCCGGCCCTCGCAGCTCCTGGAACACCCAGACCCTGACCTCAGGCTGCGGCCAGGACCCCCTACCACCCCCCCAACCCCCTTCCCTCCTCCATCTTTCAATTCGCTCCTGCACCAACCCTTGTTCCCTACTCTCTCGCTTTGTTCTTCATTCTGCTCTCCTTTCTCACTGGGTTTGAGTGGGTTTCACCTCTCTTCATGCCTGGTCGGTACCACTCACTGCGCGGGGTGAGTGTGAGGGCACCTCAGGGAAGGGGGTCAAACCCGAGCCCCAGGGGTCTGCCGGCTGAGCAGACGGGCGTGAGCTTTCCCAGCCCTGCCCGCCGCCCCGCCTCCCAGCGGCCGCCTGCCCGCACGGACCCTGCACAGCGTCTGCTGGGCTTTCTCGCTCTTTTTAGCCAAGGGCAGTGTTTCGGTCACACACCCTCCCCCTTCCCCCAGGTCCCTTCCCGTAGACACACAACCAGATCTCTAGTCCCTCCTCCCACAAGCCCGTCTCCCAGGCACCGCCCTCGAGGCAAACGGGGGGGGGGGGGGGGGGGGCCGACACACGACGACGACGACAGTCGGACCTGGTGCCCTAGCGTCCATCATCGGAGGGCCTGCCAGACACCGACGGCTCAGCTTCCCTTCCTCCCGCACAGCCCTGGGTCTGGGCGCCCCACCCGCAGCCAGCCTTAGACCCAGCCATGCCCCCTGGAGGGGGGGGGGGGCGACCTGCGTGGCCAGGCTGCTCGCTGGGAGGGAGGAGCCCGGCAACACCCAGGCCTCCTCCCCGTATCCCCCCTGCCTCCCCTCCTGCCCCCCCCCCCCCCCGTGTGTCTGCTCCAATCTCCCCGTGTGATGGCCACCAGTCCCATCTGACTAGGGACCCTGGTGTCCTCATGGCGCCCAAGAGCCTCCTGCTGTCGGCCACAGGCTGCCCAGGGGCTGCGAGGGATCAGGGGGGACACAATTCAACCCTCACAGGCCTTGCTTCCTCGCAGCAGCCTGCAGGGGCAAGTGCGCCTCCTCCTCCTCCTCCTCCTCCGGGCACGGTGCTCCGCAGAGACCAGGAGGCGCCCCCGTGCGCCCGCAGCAGGGAGGGGACCTCAGGGCCCCCCGGGCCCCCGGGGCCAGGTGAGCCCCTCACCCCTCACCTCCTCCCGGTCCCCGCCAGGAAACGGCCCCCCCCCGCCTCCCCCCCCCCCCCCCCCCCCCCCCCCCCGGGCAGCACGGGGCCCCGCCTCCCCCTTGTGGCCTGGCTGACACCCCACATGGGCCATCACATCTGGGCACCCACATGGCTTCAGAGAACCTTCCTCCCTCGCCCTCCCAGAGCCCCGGCCACCAACGCAGCCCAGGAAGCACCCGGGGCCTGGCCCCGGGCCTCCTTCCGCCCCGACAGCCTCGAGGGCCCCGTGGGAAGCCAAGAGCAGTCGCCGCCTCTAAGCCATGTGACCTCCCACCTCACCAGGGAGACACCGCCTGACCAAGCCGTCAGCCCCGGCTCCCCGGCCCCCGGTCCCGAGGCCAGCCGAGCCGGTGATGGTGGCGGGGCCCTCGGCGAGGCCAGCCCAGAGGCCAAAGGCTCGCAGTCCGGCCTCAGCGCCGGGGAGTACGCGCCCCCAGGGGCCCCCTCCTACCGCGAGGTGTTGGCCAGGGCTGCCAACGCCCACTACCTGCGGCACCGGGCGCCCCTGGAGGCGGAGCGGCTGCTCAGCCTGCGGGAGATATTTGGGCACGGGGGTCACTCTCCGGCCCTCCCGTCCCCTCAGAGTACCGCGTCAGCCCCTGGAGAAACGTGCGCAGTTTTATTTCCGGCCGTCTCCCCTTTCCCCGATCTGCCAGGCCAGTCTAAGAAAAGCGAGGGAGGGGTTTCTGAGAACCAATAAGCGATGCACCGCACCCGTGGCTGTTGGGAGCCAGCAGAGTTGAGGCAAGCAACTCAGTCTTAAGGAAATAGAATTAAGTTCCTTCTAGCAGAAGTTATTCGGTGCCCTGAGGGCTTGGCCAGAAGATAAGATTAACCTGGGGCTTAGCATCTGTCTTCCTGCCTCTTCCCCTTCCTGATCCTCCCCCCTAGATAGCCCAGCCTTGGAATGTTGCACCTTGGAATGTCACACTGCCTCTGGCAATTAGTCAATCCTGTGTTGCCATACCAAAGACCCCCCTGCATAGGCAACCCTGCCCCCCTTTGTCTCTGCTGTATAAATACAGCCATTTCAGAGAATAAAACTGAGGCTTGATCAGAACCTTGTCTTGCCTTCATTCTTTCGCGTTCCTTGTTTGTTTCATTCTCTTAGGTGGTTCCTGCGTGCCCCGTTGTCCCGCAGGTCGGGACACATGGCCAAGGTGTCAACAATACGCACCTGCCGGGAGGAGATGGTGCCGCCTGTTCTGGGCTTGCAGCGCCTGCTGCTAGCCCGAGGGCACCGCCCTGGGTGCTGGGCCCGAGGGCTGGACTTGTGGCCTGTGCAGACTGCCTTCCGCTCCAGGCGCCCGCTTTGGTTTTCTGTCCCCCTCCCACCTGCTCACATCAAACTGGCCACCGAATCATGAACAGCCGCAAGCATGTGCTCCCACCAGCATCTCCTTCCCAGCAAAACGGTGGCGCCCGGGCAGCCCAGACACTTAACTCACTGCCATGCTGGAGGCTGTGGCAGGACAGAGGCAGCGTCACACGCCAGCCCTCGCCACCTGTGCCGCTGTCTCCTCGAACCGAGTTCCCCATTTAGCATGGGTGTTTCTCCTGCAGCCACAGCCGGAGGCCAGGGGACGCGCATGGCGCTGCTGGGCCCGAGGACACCTGTCCTTGTCCCACTGTGGACAGAGACACATGTGCTCTCCCCGCATCGAGCTGTCTCCGCACCTGGGCACACAGATCCGCCCAGGTCCATCCGTGTGTCCAGACATCTCACGTGGTGCGTTCACCCTGTGCCTGACCTGTAGCGTCTAGCCATGACATCCCACCTTTTCTAATAAAAACTTCGTCACCGTTCCAGAAAACGCCTCCTTCCTTCCCTCACGCACATTATTGCGCTCAACACTCACGTTCCCGCGGGCAGAGGAAGCAGACAACCCACCCCCTGCCCTCGGGGCCCACTTCACCTCCTCCACAGGGAGGTCCCAGCCTCATTTTTGCCTGCAGAAGGCTTAACTTTATTGAAAATATCTTTAGCAATAAAATTAGAGATTAGAACAAAAATTTCATACTTCAAAATGTATGGAAATTATATTTATCTATAATTTTTCACTGTTACTGACTCATCCGAAACGTCACTCACTTGACTGTGTCCCAGGTATCCTATCTAATAAGAGTAATATGTAAATTGACCGTCACTCCAAGACACATGATGGCTGCCCCCATGTGGACACAAGATGGTAGCCACAAGATTGCCTGCAGGTAGGGCAGTTGTGGACAGTTAGGTGTGATCAAGCCGGAAGAGGAGGGCAATTGGGGGAGACCAGGCCAGCAAGGGAGGGCAATTGCTGGGGACCCAGGCCTGCAGGGGAGGGCAGTTGTGGGCGATCAGGCAAGTAAGGAGGGCAGTTAGGGATGACCAGGCTGGCAGAGAAGGGCAGTTGGGGGAGAACAGGCCAGGAGGGGAGTATAGTTAGGGGTGACCAGACTGGCAGGGGAGGGCAGTTAGGGGTGAACAGACCAGCAGGGGAGGGTAGTTAGGGGTGAACAGACCAGCAGGGGAGGGTAGTTAGGAGCAATCAGGCCGGTGGGGAGCAGTTAGGTGTCAATCAGACTGGCAGGGGAGTGGTTAAGTGTGATCAGGCTAGCAGGCAGAAGCAGTTAGGGGCAATCAAGCAGAAGCAGGCAAGAGGTTGGAAACTAGTAGTCCTAAATTGTGAGAGGGATGACCAACTGCCTGTTTAGGCCCGATCCTATTAGGATCTGGCTTAAACTGGCGGTTGGACATCCCTCAAGGGGTCCCAGATTGGAGAGGTTGCAAGCTGGGCTGAGGGACACCCCCACCCCACCCCACCCTCACCCCACCCCCACCTCATCCCCTCCCCACCCCCTGCACGAATTTTGTGCACCCGGCCTCTAGGTGGTTATATTTAGGGTAAAAATGCCTAAGCATTTCAGCATTGTCTTCATGTCATGTAAACAAAGTCTGAACCGACTTCCAACCATTGCCTCTGACCACTGCCAACAACAGCAACAGCTCAACTAGAAAATTTTATTGAAACATAAATGTGAGTAAAACATTTTGCCCACGTTTACATCCATTAAAACATGGGCATGAAAATGGGCGGGTGAGTAACAAACAGATCTGAGTCAGGCACATGGTAACGTGGACTAACCTCAATGTCATGACAACACTTTTAAAATATGGTAAGAAAGCCCGACGGTGTGGTTCAGGGGTTGAGTGCTGACCCATGAACCAGGAGGTCACTGTTCGATTCCTAGTCAGGACACATGCCCAGGTTGCAGGCTGAGTACCCAGTAGGAAGACAGCCAACTGATGATTCTCTCTCATCACTGATGTTTCTACCTTTATCTCCCTCTCCCTTCTATGAAATCAATAAAAATATATATATATATATATATATTAATTGTCATCTTTAATTTAAAAAAACTGTAAGAAATAACTTAGGTGGCCCCGGCACACGGCGACAGCCACGCAGCACCTGAGGGGAGGCCAGGCGGAGCCCGGCCCGGTAGGAGCGGGGGAGAATTAAGGAAGATGCTCCCAGGACAAAGGGCACAGCCGAGCTTGTCACTCTGAGTGGCCGTGTCTCCCGCCAGGAGGACCTGTGTGCCCGCGTCGGCTCAAGGCCAGGCCTGGCCCGGAGCCTGGCTGGGGCTCAGCTGGGTGGGCCACCATCCTGGAGAACAGCCAGGTGACTGTCACCTGGAACCTTTTCCTTGAGCACGCACAGCTTGCAGAGAACGGGGGACGGAAGGGAGACGGAGAGTTCCCTTCACCACAGACGACACTCCCCCGGGCCAGGAGCCCAGCACGGAGCACGGCAGCTCAGCTAGTCGGCGCTCAGGAGGGTGGCCCGCAGGCGCCTCTCCAGCTCCACGAGGCGACGGTAAAACTTCTCAGCAGTGTCTTCGTCGAGGTCCATCTGGAAGGGAACGGAAACGGTGACGGGGGACGACGCGAACACCTCTGGGAACCAGGAGGCGCTCGCCGGCGGGGAGGCCTGGGGGCTGGCCAGCAGGGAACGGCCGCAGCCTCCCGGGACAGCGGGGCCTACCTTCTCCGTCGTCACGTAGTTTCTCCCGAAGCCGGTGGTGGCGCTCAGGTACTTGGTCAGAGGGTTGAGGGACTCGGGCTTCTGGTGGAAGAGCCACACCTGGGGAGAAAGAAGGGGCGCTGGGCTGTCTGGCCGCGGGCGCAGCCGGGGGCACCGGGACCAGAAGTCCTCTCGACCAGCTCGGTGTCATGGCTCCACGCCCGCTGCTGGGACAGAGGGAGGAGGGCAGCTGCTTGGCAGCATCCTTAAGAAAAGCACCTGCAGCAAAAGCCGCTCCTCTTAGTCCCCAAATCCAAGTTCATGGCCGGAGTCGGCTCCTCCACATCGGCGCCCACTTGCCAGGGTGACTCACAGACACAGCCGTCGCCTCAGTGACAGACCAGCACAGGCACACCGCTCGGAAGCCCGCCCCTTTCCGCGGCCGGCGGCCTTCTCTCGTCCCCTCTGGAGGCAAAGCCCACCAGCATCTCCTGTTCACCCGAGACCACGTGTCTGCTGGGAGCCGGGCTCTGCTCGCCCTGGCGGAAGCAGGACCCACTCCGCGTCTGCAGACACTGTACCCAGGTAAGCGGTCGTGTCCTTCTCGTTCCAAGTAGCCAGCACTCCGCAATCCGTCTCCCATGGACGGATGTACCGCGGTTGCTGTCACAGCCGCATGGTGCTGAGTGACAGGCCGGCGTCGCCGGGAGTCTGCGCACACAGAGAAGGTGGACACGGACGCCGGAATGGCTGTGTTGGCTGGTCCTGCCGGAGCCCATCTACCCCAGCATGGCCGAGCCAGCATCTCGAACACCCTCATCTCCACCACCGGAGCTGGAAGGAGGTTTCGCGGTGACTTTGGTCTCACTCCTCAGTGTGAGACTGAGCGTGGCTTCCTACGAGTAACATGGTTTGAAGTTCCATGGTGGCCTTTGCGCTTGTCCCGGAGCACTGAGGGACGGACACACGGAGTGACAAAGTGGGGACTTCGCCAAGACAGCACGAACAGAGGGCGCAGAGGGCACCTGGGCACCCTGACCCGGCAGTAGAAGGCCTCGGGGACATCCTGTGTGTCCGGCGGAAACGATGGCCGTGAGCCATGAGCAGCGTCGGCCCCGAGCACCGTATGTAAACACACTGGTTTCCCAACAGTAACAGCTCGACTTGGACGTGAGCCGAGGAAAGAGCATCTCCGTCCCAGGAAGTGCCTGGGCTTCGCTGCCTCTTCGCTGCCCACAGGCGACCTTCCCCGGGAAGCCCCGCCTGCCGGCCCCACCGCCTGGGACCATCACATACCAGGGCCTCAGCTCCGTTGTACGGCGTCAAGGTGAAAGCGTTTGCAAAGAAGCGGAGCTGACGGAGAGAAAACAGGCGTCACTGAGGAGGTTTAGGTCCCAAAGCAGCACTCACCACACATGTTAAGGACAGCCTGCTCCTGATCCCTGAGCGCAAACTAAGCCCCAAAATGAGGAAGTCACGTCCTCCCAGCCCTCCAGCCAGCCCCTCGGAGCGGAGGTACTCCTCCTCCCTCTCCGCCCTGGCGCCAGAGGGCGTTTTTCCTGAGCTCCACGTGGAAGGACAGCTCCTGAAGGAGCATTTCTGTGGCTGAAGGCACGTCTGCGAGAAACTCTCAGCACACAAACCAAGAGAGCTGACCCGCGGCTGTGCGGCCGTGAGCTGTGTGCACAGGAAGTGACCACACCGAGCATGGGAAGCCGGGAACTACCACGCGGCCGGGTTCCCACAGGTCGGCCCTAGGCCTCCGGGGCCCACGCAGCACGCTGGGGGCGCTCCCTCCCAGAGAAGGGCGGCAATGTGGGGGTCAGCTGGTGGGAAGCAGAGGCTACTGGCCATGGACTTCAATCCGGCAGGGACCTGAGATTCTGCCTCCTCCAGATTCAATTTCTGAACTCACTTCCCAACCCTCAAACACACCCTTTATCCCAAGTCGAACAGCTGGCATCCACAGAGGAAGGAAGCGGTGGGCGGGCGCACTCACCAGCCATATGATTGGCATCAACAGTGTCCACACGAAGCGGGGCAGGATTCCGTAGGTCAGGTTGGTCAGCATGGTCCCCGGGCACGCCACACTGGAGAACAGGCCCTGGGGGCACAGGGACGGGGCAGGGCTGAGCTCAGGGTGCTGCCTCAGCCCAGGACATGCCAGCCAATCGAGGGCACGCACCCCTGCCAGGACAGGCAGGAAAGGCTTCTGCTCTGAGTGGTCCTGGACGCTGGGGACCTGTCAGTGGAAGCTTGGGCTGAGGGACCCGGTGGGACGTACACAGGTGCAGAAAATGAGTGACAAAGAACAGCCAGGCCCGAAGCTGGAGAAAGTGGGCCCAGCACTGAGTCCCCGTGTGGTTGGGTCAGGGGCAGGTCAGCTTATCAACCCCAAAATCACTGGAGACAGAGGACACCCAGGACAGTCTCTGCCTCTGGGATAGACACCAACTGCCCTGTGTGTCTGCCTCCCAGCAGGTGCACAGACCCAGACTCCAGCTTCGAGGACGGGGGGGGGGGGGGGGGGTAGGGATTGGTCCTAGGGGCAGAGCACAGAGACCTCCTCCCACTGCAGGCTCCAGGCCTCCGCCAGGACTCCCATTTTAGAAAGCTGTCTTGTTGGGCCGAATAACACAGCTCATGGACCAGAAGGGGGCGCTGTGCAGTCTGTCCTGGCAGAACTGGGACTTGCTTTACTAGTGAATCCTTTAATTTTTACTACGTTGACCTTCTTTGATATTGACCATTTCAACTCATATTTTTATTACTTTTCATCTTATTTTTTACACGGAATGCTGCAAGTTCCAGTGTAACAGGCGGCCGCGGGGCAGAAAGCACCTGGGAAGTTTCTGTTTTGTCCGGGGCGCTGAGGCTCCGGGACGCACACTGATCACCCACCAGCCACAGGGTCCCCGCGTTTGCCAGCCTCACAGACCAACAGCTCCTCCCAAGAAAGTCAGTTCCCCAGAGACAGCACGGGAATCTGCTCTGGGAACAGTCAGGGGCTCGGCAGCACTAAGCGAAGATGTCTGTGAACTAGACCTTGATGCTGAGTAACAGCAGAAACACGCAGGGAGGGGCTCCGCCACGACCCCACCCACGGGAACCACAGACCGCGGCCCGGTGCTCTGGACGCTGGGGATGTCACCACGGACGACAGCTCGGCGGGAGCTGGGGGCCCAGCACACTATCACTCCAGCTCTGGAGGGGGCAGTTCTTTCCTGGCTGCTTCTCTGAGCAAAAGCCAAGGCCACGAGCCGCAGCACAGGCCAGGCAGCAGCAGCCTCAGCTACGTCTCCCTTCTTTTTATCCTTATCCAAGGGTGTGTTTACTGACTTCAGAGAGGGGGGGGGAGGGGGAGAGGAACATCGATGTGAGAGAGGAACATTGACCAGTTGCCTCCTACATGCACCTTGATCGGGGATCAAACACACATCCTAAGTACGTGTCCTGACTTGGAATTGAACCAGGACAGGACAGGACAACCCACTGAGCCACACTGTCCAGAGCAATCCTTACTGTGGGGGTGGGGAACGTCTGGCATTGGGGCCGTAGGAGCCCACCAGATCATTGGGTCTGGCCCTGCCAAGGCAGGACTGGAAATTCAGTCACTCTAGGAGCGTTTCTCACAGTAACGTCCATTCATGTTAAGGGAGCGACAGGAAGTGAGTGATGTTACAAACACCAGGTGGCCGGGCAGAAAAGGGTCCCGCCCCGGCCTTACTCGCTTGACAACCAGACCTCACTAGCCCAGTGCTGTCCGTGGACAGACAGGCCCAGGGGACTAGCAGTTGGGACAAGCTGTCATCTGGAGAAGCCAGAGGCTCTTCATTGGACCAGCACGCTGAGCTCCAACTACAACACAGTGACAAGAACAACAGCCCACACATGCACGAGCACACACACACACACAGACCTGTGTGCACACACCAGCACACCCTGTGCACATGCACAGGCGCGCTCTGAGCACAAAGCTCTACTGACTGCTCCAGACCCACCCTCGCGCCCTCCCAGGAGGCAGGAACCATTACTGTCCCTCCTGGCAGCGAGGAGCTGAGGCCTGAGGGGGTGAAGCCTGTGCCTGAGGTCACCGGCTGGGGCCGAGCCAGGGCCCATCGTCCCGCTGCAGGCTCGCAGCTGCTGCTGTGCGCAGCCTCACCGCCAAGAGGCAGGACCGCGAGAGCCAGGCCTCCACTCCGGGACAGAGCGGGTCCACACTCTCCCGGGAGGCTGGCTGCTGTGGCTAATGCACCACCACAGCTGCTCCCCTGCCCTGGACAGTGCTGCTCAGTGGTTAGAGTGTTGGCCTCTGTACCAAAGGGTTGAAACCAGCCCTGATTGGGGTGCATGTGGGAGGTAACCAATCAGATGTTTCTCTCTCACACTGATGTTTCTCTCTCTCTCTAAAAAATAAATCATTTCCCCCCAAGCTCCTCTCTCTAAAACATAAAAAAATGAAAGTGAGTGGAAAAAATCTCCACTGTGAGGATTCACACCACCAACAAAAGCAGCTCCCCTCGGGCACATGGTTTCACGGTCCTCTCGTAATGTCTCCCTCCTCTTCCGCCCCAGGCCTGCCTGGTGCCCTAAACACGGAAGACCGTTGTAAATATTAGAATTAAATTGCTCCAAGCCTCACCTCCACCCACAGGAAAAGCCACAGGAAAAGCCATGGGAACGACAGGAGGTGCTGACATCTGAGACATACAAGGACGCAGCACGCCCAGGCCCCGAGGCTCAGGAACTGCGTGGCTGACAGGGAGCCCTCCAAAGAAACTCCTCTCCGCAGGCCACCTCGCCGCCGGGACACCAATACGAACACGGGGCGAGGGTGGCTTGGGGGAACCCAGGCCACAGAGTCAGATGGCCTGGGGCCACCCTGAGCTGCACCCCCTAGTTCCTCACTTAACCTCTCCGAGTCCTCGTGGGAAGGGGGCGCTGAGACCTGCTCCCCCCGGGCGGGGAAGGCGGGATGGACACGGGTAGAGCGAGCACCTAAAGCCGCGGTGCTCCCAGCGGGGGGGGGGGGGGGGGCGCGGCGGGGGGGGGGGCGGCGGCGGGGGGGGGGGCGGGCGGCGGCAGCGACTCGGCCGGGAATCGGGGCCGAAGAAGTGCAGGATGGTGCACCCACTCCGCTGCCCCGGAAATCAGGACCCATTATTTCTGCCCTAGAATGTTCCTAACACCTGCCATCGGTCCCATTCAGGTGCCACCCTTCCTCAGGGCCTTCCTGCTGAGGAAACACCGCTGCCCCTCTCCGCCCTCAGGCCCCCGCCCGTCCCGGAGCCCGCCTCACCCGCTGGTTGAAGTTCCTGTTCAAGGCCACGCTCAGGAGGTCCAGCGCGTACTTGGAGGAGCTGTAGGGCTCGCGGCCCCGGCTGTGCTGGAAGTCCTCCAGGCTGAAGTTGGCCCTCCGGGCGCTGCGGGATGACGTCCAGATGAGCCGGGACGGGCTGTCACCGCGGCCAAGGAGGGGGGCCAGCTCCCGGACCTGAGTGAGGAAAAGGAATGAAATGAGAGACAAGATCTATAGGGAGGACGGTGACAGTCAGGAAGCACTGTACTGTCTGCTGCAAAGGGGCAGGTTGTCCCTGGAGGTGAGCAGGGAGGGGCCAGAATGCTGCGTGGTGCTGCACGGGAGTGAACACAACAGCATGGACTCGTGTTCAGTCTCAGGATGCGGATGGTTACATGTGGAAACATACAGCCATGTGCACACCCCTGGGTTGGCACACACATGCACATCCCCCTGCTGCCAGCAGAGGGCCCAGAAGCACCTGCTGCCTCAACAAGCACCGGGTTTTGGTGTCTAACGCCCTCTAATAAAAGGAGACAGCTCTCCTCAGAGGAACGGCCTGTTCTAGGTCTCGGGCAGGGAACACACAGTGACCTTGAAGATTCTTACAGTGTCAGCAAGGCCGTGCTCAAACAGAAGCAAAGCCATCATGACGAGGGCACACCCAAGATGGACCCGCCGGAAACACCTGAGCAGAAACTAACGCCGAGTTTACAACTCGGGCAGCAAGCACGCACTGTGCCCACGTGGGCATCTGTCATCACCAACACCTTACTAAGCAAGGACGCCAAAGAAAAAAGATACAGATATAAGATAATGACCTTGTGAAGTTATTTTTAAAATGACCAGGTAGGCCAGGACCGGTTTGGCTCAATGGATAGAGCGTCGGCCTGCGGACTGAAAGGTCCCAGGTTCGATTCCTGTCTAGGGCATGTACCTTGGTTGCGGGCACATCCCCAGTAGGGGGTGTGCAAGAGGCAGCTGATCGATGATTCTTTCTCATCGATGTTTCTAACTCTCTATCCCGCTCTCTTCCTCTCTGTGAAAAATCAGTGAAATATATATTTAAAATGACCAGGTAGGAATTCCACCCATCCTGACTTTATATTTTTCATTTTTGATTAAAACTAGTACCATATAAAAAATAGTACAAAAGGATCAAATCCTGGAGGCTACCCCACATCAATGCACAACGGTCTTCATCTCTTTTCATGGTTTCATATACTCAGTGTTTGTACGCATCTCCGTTTGTTATAAAACATAGGCTAGTCCTCCAGGAGGGGGCCCACTTTTCAGGGAAAACAGGCTCAACGTGCAGAAGAGTGACCATGAACTTGGCATCAGAGAAGCAGGTTGCACAGGCAAAGCGAGTGGAGGAGGACCTGCATGGAGCAATGGTGAGCCGCCTGACACAGCTGGCGTGAGCGTCAGCTGCTAATGCCACCCGGAGCTTAGCCGGAGGCCGAGCATGGAGCAAGCTGGACAGGCAGCTGTGCCGGACGCAGCGCACAGTGCGGGGCTCGAGAAGCGGCGACAAAAGATCAGCTATGAGTCACGTTCAGTAACGGCTTGCCTGCTCGCCTCCTCTCTGAGGCCGGCCGGTTCTAAGACCACCGAGCATTCTCTCTGACCGCCTCTGTGTGTCCCTTTATGCTGTCCTCTGCTCTCCAGAGGTGGTGGCAAAATGAAAACTAATCTCTCAAGAGGCTGCTGCAGGGACCAGTTTCCAGAAACACTCAGAGCAGAGGCCAGCCCACGCCACTGCGCTCCGCAGAGCAGAGCTATGCGCCCAGCCTTCGGGACCCGGTGCTGAGTGAGGCCTGGCGGTACTTTACCAGGACAAAGTGGCCAAAGACATTGGTGACAAAGACCTCCTGGAGCCCGTGGGCAGTGACCCTGTCGTCCTGCGTCAGCAGTCCCTCCGCGGTGGAGAACACCTGGATCACCTTTCTGAAACAGCAAAGAGAAGTGCATTACTTTCCAAAGCGCCTGCCACCGGGGCCTCTGAGGAGACCTCCCCGAGCCCTTCCTGCCCCACCTCCAGGTCTCTGGAATGAGAACACCTGTTTCACAGACTGGGGGGCTGTGCTAAATACAATGCAAGATGGCCGAAACTGGTGTGGCTCAGTGGATAGAGCGTCCATCTGCAGACTGAAAGGTCCCAGGTTCGATTATGGTCAAGGGCATGTTCATTGGTTGTGGGCACATCCCCGGTAGGGGGTGTGCAGGAGGCAGCTGGTCGATGTTTCTCTCTCATCAATGTTTCTAGCTCTCTATCCCTCTCCCTTCCTCTGTAAAAAAAAAACAATAAAATATATACATTTTTTAAAAAATACAATGCAAGATGCCTCCTTTTCTGAGTACTCACATGCCACAGCATCCGAGCCTCTAAAACCTGAGAAAACCCTCGTCACCTCTTTCTTTTCTTTTCTTTTTTTAAATATATTTTATTGATTTTTCACAGAGAGGAAGAGAGAGGGATAGAGAGCTAGAAACATCAATGAGAGAGAATCATTGATCAGCTGCCTCTTGCACACCCTCTACTGGGGATGTACCCGAAACTAAGATACATGCCCTTGATCGGAATCAAAACCGGAACCTTCAATCCGCAGGTCAACGCTCTATCCACTGAGCCAAACTGGTTCCGGCCCTCGTCACCTCTTTCTAAACCAGATCAGAAGTCACAGGGACAATGGAGGGGCCAATGCTGAGAGGGGTCCCTGCACACAACTCGGGGAAATGCCCACACAGCCAGGCACTGGTGCTCACTGGCCATTCTTAGAGCACCGAGCACCCTACCACAGCGTCTGCCGCAAGACCGTGTATTGGGTCAAGGCCCGTGTGTGTGTGTGTGTGTGTGTGTGTGTGTGTGTGTGTGTGTTCAATGGACGAGAGTAAAACAAGTCTAGAAAGAACCTCTATGAATAAGCACGTGAGGTCACAGGTAAGACTGCTTCCTTCCCACAGGGTGGAGTCAAACATTTTTGAGAGCCACGGCACTATCCTGAACTCTGCAGGGAGACAGCGAGTTCTGAGCGCTTCCCCAGCTGCTGGTCAGAGCCCTGGCCCGAGCTGCCCCCCCTCTCCTGAAGGGCTCCCTGCAGCCGTCTCGGGCCACAACACAGAATCGGGACACACAGCTCCCCAGAGACCAGTGCTTTTCTTCCTCCTGTCGTCATTCTTCTCAACCCCCTCCTGCCACCCAACTTAGCACGCCCAGGGCAACGCTGGGCCGAAGCAAGCACCTCCCTGACGGTGGGCCCGGAAACGGCATTACCTGGAGAAGAGACTGGAGAGCAGCGCGCGGAGGTTGAGGTGCGGGCTGGGCATGATGCCAGCGTTCAGGTACACATAGTCTAGCCTCTGGAACCTGCCGACGGACCCAGGACACAGGGTCAGTCCCGTGAGCGTTCTTTTTCTGATGTCGGCTCCCAACAGGATTTGGGAGCGACAGGGGGCTGTGAAGTCAAACCTCTCTGATCAATACTCCTTAGCTTCGTCCCCCAACTAGGCCCTGCAGCTACCCTGTCCATCAAACACCCCTCCTTTGGTCTGGGGAAGTTTGGGGCTTTATTTATTTTATTTTCTTAGATTCACATCCTCCCTAGTTGACAAGTAAAATTATATATTCACCTTATGTTATATTCACCTGATCTGTCTGGACACAGTCATACTCCCGAATTTGCATCACGACAACCATCTAGTCTGGGCAACCCCACACTCCTCTGAGCGCTGCTCTGAGCATTCAATGAGGACAGCAGAGCTGCACCCCAAGCTGTGGGCCTGGCTGACCGCTCACTGAGTACCTCAGGGCTCCCTTCTCTCCCATGGCCGCCCTGCCTAAGTCTGGGCTAACTCACAAAATGTCTTACTTGATACGAAATGACTGATCTGCGGTAACTACATGTGCTCCCTGAAGAGCCAGGGAGGAGACTGACTCCAGGACCCAGGGGGAACAGTCCTAGGGCTCTGGGGCACTGTCTGTGTCTCTTTGGTCAGTGCCTGCTGACCTATTTAGCACCCAGCGAGCGAAGATGCAGAGAATGCTCTCCGGTGTCACAGGCGCTCACTCCCTAAGGCACCGCGCCTGCGCCTGCCGCACGGCCAGGGCGCCCTCCTGGGTTACTTCTCATGAAATAAGCATGATTGCGGGGGCTGAGGGGCAGGACTTCCGTGTGACACCGCAGGCCCTTTCTCCAGTGTCAGCTGCTGGGTGCACAGCCACAGGGAGAAAGCCGCCTCCGGAGGCTCACCTGCGCCTGAGCTCCCTGGCGGCCCGCAGCACGGAGTGCAGGTCGGAGACGTCCACCTGCACGGTGCTCACCTGCGCGGAGGGCCGGGCGGCCAGCAGCGCGGCGCGCGTGGCCTCGGCCCGGCCCCGGTTCCGGCACGCCAAGCACAGGTGCAGCGCGGCGTCCTCCGCCAGCAACCGCTGGCACAGCGCTTGGCCCACGCCGCTGTCCAGACAGAAACAGGATAAGCACACGGTGCCCAGCCCGCCGGCTCCCGGTCAGAGCCCGGCGGGCAGGAAAGAGGGGGCGCGCGGGCGGGCAGGAAAGAGGAGGCGCGGGCGGACAGGAAAGAGGGGGCGCGGGCTGACAGGAAAGAGGGGGCGCGGGCGGACAGGGAAGAGGGGGCGCGGGCGGATAGGAAGAGGGGGCGCGGGCGGACAGGAAAGAGGGGGCGCGGGCGGACAGAAAGGGGATGCGGGCACGCGGCGGGCCGGCGCTGGGCCTCACCTGCTCGCCCCGGTGACCAGGACTACCTTCCTCATCTCGGCGCACGCAAGCCCCGCAGCCCACTGAGCCGCGCACCTAGCCCGCCGGCCCCGCCTCCCACGCCCGCCGCCCAATCAGGACCTGGCGACACAGACACGCCACGCCCAATCCACGTCCTCCAATCAGGTCCCAGGCCCGGCGATGCCCCGCCTCCCCTGACGTCACAGTTTTCGCTCTGAGCCCTCCAATCGCAGCCCGCCGGGTGCCCTCTGCCCCGGACCCGAGGTGGGGTGAGATAGGCCGAGGGGCGGGGCCACAGCCCCCAGCCAATCCGCGCTCTCCGCCTCGCAGATGACCCCCAACCTTCAGCCCTCCACCCCTCACACGACCCGTCTGCCGGGTAACCGCTGCCCCGGGCGTGCTCCGGCCCGCGGCGCTCTCACGCGCGGGGACGTGGGCAGCAGGGCCCCTCCTGTTACAGGGAAGTTGGGGTCTCGCAGCTGAAGCGGAAGACTGCCCATCTTTACCTGAGGACCCAGGCAAAGTGCCCCTGGACCGCCACCTCTGCCCCACACCGCTCCTCTGAAGTCGTCTTCTGGAGTGGGTTTTGTGGGGAACTGTGTGTAGAAACTGCAAGATCTGCTGGTTTCCAAAAACTGGGCTGCGGTGGTCCTGGAACGTCACGGGCAGACCAGGCGCTCTGTGCCCTCTGGCTGCTCTGAGTTACACCCAGTCCCTCACCTCCCCTGGCCGTCCATCCCTCACCCCCCCTGGCCATCCACCCCTCACCCCCCCTGGCCGTCCATCCCTCACCCCCCCTGGCCGTCCATCCCTCACCTCCCCCGGCCGCCCATCCCTCATCCCCCCTGGCCGTCCACCCCTCACCCCCCCTGGCCATCCACCCCTGGCCGTCCACCCCTCACCCCCCCTGGCCATCCATCCCTCACCCCCCCTGGCCATCCACCCCTGGCCGTCCACCCCTCACCCCCCCTGGCCGTTCATCCCTCATTCCCCCTGGCCGTCCATCCCTCATCCCCCCTGGCCGTCCATCCCTCATCCCCCCTGGCCGTCCATCCCTCACCCCCCCTGGCCATCCACCCCTGGCCGTCCACCCCTCACCCCCCCTGGCCGTTCATCCCTCATTCCCCCTGGCCATCCATCCCTCATCCCCCCTGGCCGTCCACCCCTCATCCCCCCTGGCCAGCGCTGGTAAACGTGTTCACAGTACTCTGGGCAGGCAGGAAGCACGCTGTTTGGGTGGTTTCATCCTAATCTCTGCTACAACCGGAGTGAGCATTCCCGTTACTCACAGCTTTTGTTGCTCTTTGTAGGGAGTAGCCCAGACAAACCATGTTTGGATTTTGGAGGGACTTCTGTGTATCAAGCAAGCAATTTTGTGACAATAAAGGATCGCCAGTAATTTTGGACTGGATCTCTGCCAGCCGGGCCATCTGATAGCACAGAACTCCAGTCTCTGGTGGGTTTGGACATGCCAGAGGCCAAGATGCTTCTCTTCCAACGAAGTCTGCTCGTCTGAGAAGCCTGGGTCAGCAATCCCATGCTGAGCCCGCCCCACAAATGGGCCTACCCCACCCGGCGCCCCATCGCTTCTCCAAAAAGGACCCAAGGCCCAAGCCGATCAGTAGCATGTTTCTTTAATCATTGTTATTTACAATTTATCATTATCAGACTTACAGAGAATAAATAAAGAAGAAAATATACAATTGGTATCTTGTTCTTTTTCTAATACAGAGAGTTCTTCATGCTCTATTTTGGAATGACTACAAGAGTTTTAAGTACAAATTAAGTCAGTTTTCTCTTTACCCCTGGACTAGGCCCATGGCCTCCCAAGTTCTCCTCACAGGAAGCTGCTCTGGTCCCGCAGCAAAGCCACCGGAAGGGACGGGCGGCGCGGCGCGGGCTGAGACGGGCGCAAGTGAGCAGCTGGGCTGCTGGCAAACTCGGTGTTTGTGGGAATGCTCACACCTTTCGTTACTTCCAAGCCTCTTCAAGAAAACAGGTTTCCACTCCGAGTAAAAACTCAAAACCTCTGCAAATCCTCCCTGCACTGGTGATCGCAGGTCCTGAATGCCTGCAAACTCGGGGGAGCTCGGGACTGACTCGGCCTGCTCCTTTAGACATGATGTCTGCAAAACCTATTTCAAAAGGGCTGAATGTGGGCCAGAGTCTGGAGCCTGCTCTGGATGGGGTGCCTTACACAGAAATGCTGTCTACAGGCCTTGAAATGCTGTCTACAGGCCTCGAGGAGGAAGGTAGACCCAGGAAGTACACAGGTGAAGGCTGTTCTCCGCCAGGTAAGGACTGGCCCTTTCTTCTCCCTCCCCAATTAAAACCAGCCCTCTCTAGCACAGCAGAGCACGTCTCCCTAACTCACCAGGCATGCAGTTTGACAGGTGCCTGTTTCTATATTCAATTCATTCAAAAACAACACTCTAGGCATGTACGGGGTGCCCGGCAGGTGAGTCTGGGCCAGGAGCTGTACAGGATGTGGGACGCAGTGGAAAACAAGGTACAATCTTGTGAGTCCCAAACGGCACTAAGACACCGCCACAAACCTCACAGCTGGGAGCCACAGAGCTGGAGCCTCAATACCACCCCTTCCCCCGGAATTAGTATTTAATTTGGTCTAGTGTGGTTTATTTCATTTCAGAACAGATATTTAGGCAAATGAAACCTCTATTATTCTGAAAATAGTTTCTTATCACATTCAGGGTCTGGACCACTGTGTTCCAGGCCTCCCACAGAGCCCTGGGGCCGTCACTCGGAGCCGCCTACTCCTTGGCTGGTTCACTCTGGAGTGCTTGCTCTCTGCCACAGTTACGCTCCTTCCTTCCAGAAACAGCAGGAACCACCTCAATTTCCCTTTACGCCTGACTAGAGGCCCGGTGCTCGGAATTCTGTAAGAGCAGGCCTTTCTTCCCCCAGCTGCTGGCACCGGCTTCCAGCTGGCACCGGGACCTGGGCTTCCATCACAGCCCTGGCTTCATCTTGAAGGTCATCCGGAAGGACGTCCAGTCTAATTAGCATATTATGCTATTATTATTATTATTATTATTATTATTGATTCTGTAACCAGCAAGCCATGTCAGGTCTTCACTGTCCTCTGTGTTGCCTGATCCTTCCAACTTGTTCTGGATTGTTCCAGATGCTAAACAGCCAAGCAAGGTCAGCAGATGTATGCCCACGCAGGCCGGGCAGGATAATGCTCACTGATAAAGGAACAAGTGAGCTTGTTACATTCTCCTTAAGAGTTAGTACATTTGTATCCAGATGGTGTCTTCTCAAGTCCTCCGAGCAAGGCCAGGTTACAAACCAGCAAGGATTAAACCTATCCAGAAACTGACTCAGTGCATGTGAAAAACTGGTGAAGTCTGAATATGGTCTGTGGTGCGTTAATATCAGACCAATGTCAGGTTTCTGGCTTTGGAAAAGCATGATGGTTCCGTAAGAGGTTACCAGGGAAAGCCTGGTGTTAGGGTGAGGCCAGTCTGTACTAGTTTTGCTACTTCTCGCCAGTTTTGAAACACCTAACTAGTTTTAGAAACAATTGCCTACCAAATAGTGCAGCTGGTTGTAGCAGAGAGCTCAAATGCCAGCAACCCAGGCATCATTAACCACTCCGCTGCTTCCCGTGTTGGGAAGCATTCCAATGCAGTTACCACGTGGAAAAGACATTCATCTGCTTCTGTGAAAATGTTCAATTTCAATTCAGGAGGATTTCCCGACATACACCAGATCTGTAACTCGGGGAAGCATTCAGGGACCTGCCATATGCCAGGCCAGAGGTCAGAGGTCAGAGGTCTTACAGAAAAGGCGAAGAGGCAGGACTGCAAACTCAACTTAGGATCGGGGACTTAGCAGTCCTATTTGAAGAATAATTTAAGCCTTCACTGTAATTTTCTTCACTTTTCATAGTTTTGGGCAGAACAGATGGTACTCTGTTTTAGAGTATCTCCTTGGAACTTCCTCTCTTCCCCTCTTCTCTGTCCTCCTCTGACACAAACAGGCTGAGTTCCCCCGCCCATGGGGAGCCTGGAGGAAGGGAGAGCGACCCGGCTTCCAGCAGCACCCACGACTGAGTGGGTGTCAAACGAGACTGGGGCGACCCATCTCGAGCCGAGTGCTTCCCTGTTTGCGACCCTTGTGGGCCCACAGTGAGCCCTTAACAGGAGCAAAGCCGGTGGCCGTCTGCCAGCTCCCCAGGCCCAGGCTGATCCGCAGCAGCTCTTGGGGACCAGGCCCCTGGCGGGCGGAGCCGATGGCTTCGCAGCTGAGGACACAGGCGCCCAGACCTCCGCCACCTGCTTCCTCGGGCAGGAAGGGTGTCCTGCCGGGCACGGTGGGCCGCGTCCACGAGGACTCTGCCCTCGGAGGCTAAAAGCTCCCTCTGTGCACACTGCCCACCGGCTCCGCTCCCCATCCACATTCTTACGATCGCCACGTCCGCAGTTCCTTCTCAGCACACATGTCCTCCTCTCATCTTCACGACACTTACTTTTTCTGCCCTCACTCGGCCGTCTCCAGAACAGAGTCTCGCCTCGCCGGAGTCTGTCTGGCTTCCTGACCCCCCGCAGCCACCTGTGCGAGAACCGAGCTCCTTCCTGCGGCCTCTTCCCACCGCCACCTCCCTCTCAGCCCCTCGCACCTTCGCTCACCATCTGTCCCCCTCCTCACTGTGCTCACCACACCGCGGGCACCTGCCGGCGACCTGCCCAGCACTAACACGCAGCCGCTCCGGCCACCAGGCGGGCCTCTGAGCAGGGAGTCTGGGCTGTGCATCCAGGCAGGGCCTGGCTCTCAGCACGGTGACTCGCCTCCACAGACACTCCCATCTGACTCCACAGCCACCCCTGGACGGAAAGCGTCCCCCAGACCCAATAACGGTGAGTTAGAAAGGGTAACAGGACACCACCTGGAGCCAGTGACTCTCCCCCAGGGCCGGGGAAACCCAGAAGCTCCACATTCCCATTACACAGGACGGCCTCTGCGGGCTCAGGAAACACAGCGGGCTAAAGTGGGATGCGGAAAAGAAGCCAGAGGAGAACCGTTAGGCACAGGGCGGGAGAAACACCACCCTCCCGCCCCTCCGCAGTCCTGGCAGGGCCTCTCCCCTGGGGGCGGCTCACGTCCCTTGAATTCTAGAGAAGTGTGATGACTTGGCTTCCGTGGTCACCCTCCTGGCCCTGTTGTTCAATGCCTGAGCTGCTTCCGGTGAGATGGGCTGTGGCTGTTGGGCTGAGGAAGGCAGCGGCCTGTCCGGTGTGCGGGCACTCACTCAGGTGAGGATCTGGTGGAAGGAAGGAGTTCACTCCGCCTGCAGCTGGGCTGACTCCTCAGCCTCCTCCCCGGACTGGCCCCCATGATCTGTCCTCAGAGGCCACCAAGATCTCCTGGGTCTTCGCTCAGCCCCACAAATGAGGACCTGAGCCGGTTCTTTAAAGATCAGAAAGGCGTGTGCCTCCTGTCCGCTTTCCTCTGGGGACTCCGACGCTCACATGGACCTTGGACGCAGAGGGGCAAGTCCCAAGGAGTGAGAGCGTGGTCAGCTGCTGTGTCCGCTGGAGGACGGGCTGGAGCGTGCACGTGGCGGTGTCAGTGCGGCTGTGGCGCTTCCTGCAGCCTCTTCCCGACCGCAGTTCTCGGCAGGAGGAGCCGGTTCCCCGGCGAGCACGGGGCACGTGGACTGACAGCCCTCGCGGCCACCACTGCAGCGGCCACCACCTTACAGCCAGGGACACGTCCGGCGGCAGAGACGTCCAGACGGCACTGCTGCTCAAAGCAGAAATGGGTCCTGACTCCCACCTGTGAGCCTCCGGCTCATCGAGGGAGCCTGAGTCCTAGGACACAGCGGGCAGGGGCGGGGTGAGTTTGCCCTCTGCCATGGCCTGGAGCAAGCTGGGGCTGAGCAGGGACGCAAGCTGAGACCTCTGCCGTCCTCTCTTGTGTCCCCTTTGTGGGAATTGGGGCTCCCTTTGCTGCTGTCCACGGACTCTGGGAGGTGGGGGGAGGGGGCTTGGGAGCTCTGATTTCACTAGGCATCTATTGCCACAAATTTGGAAGCCAGACCCCCCTCTTTCTCTCCATCACGCTTGACCTGTGCAGAGGGTCACCCAACACCATCTCACCCATCACTGCTCTGGGGTCCAAGTCCACATCTGTCTCCCCTAGTTCTTCAGCCCACTCATCCTGGTGCCCCTGGCGGGGGGGTGGGGGGGGGGGGCTCGGGAACACTTGGAGCAGGCGCCCCCTATCGCTCACACCTGGGAGCCCCGCCTGCCGCGGGTGCACCTGGCTCATCTATTAAAACAGGATGACAAGGGCCGAGGGAAAGCTACCGGAACACCAGTTTCTATGGACTCAAAGGGTCTCACTGACACCGCGCTTGTTTGCAAATGACAACCCTGCCCACCACACACAGTCTTCCTGCGCAGCCTCCGCATTCTAGGCACAGACACAACCCTGAGCCCAGCCACGATGAGCGGAGTGCCCATCCCACAGAGCGGGGCTCCGAACGGGTCAGCTGCTCGGCCGGAAGAGGAAGGCAGTGGCTGAGCCGGAGGCCAGACCAGGAGGCGGACCCACCTGGCGAGTCCCTGAGCGTCCGAGGCCCGCTGGCCGGGCGCTCCCCTAACCTCGTCTCAGGTCCCTAAGGCAGGAGGACTCTTCAAGTTTTTATTTCTGAAACTATTTTTAAAGGCAACGTGGAAAAATATTGTAGAGTCTGCACATTTATAAACATAAGCATATTTAGCCTTTATAAATTATCTAAGTTACCTAGCCTTTGTTCGCAGCACTTCGGTACATCAATGAAGATTTCCTTACTGGGTTTTATCTGCCCTAGCAGGTTTTTTTTTTTTGTTTTTTTTTTGGTTCTTTAACGTAAAAAACAAGTATATGTGGGTGAGGGGTGGACAGTGGGTGGACAGAGGAAACGAGGGCAGGAGGAAAGGAACGGCCTGCTCGCGTGGCGCAGCGTGGCGTGGGCGGCGTGGCGGACCGACCCCCAGGCGTCACTCGTCCCCCTGCTGGAGGAGCAGCAGGTGTATCTCCTGGAACGAGGGCCGGTGCTTGGTGTCCCTCCTCCAGCAGCTCAGCATCAGCTTGTACACGGAGTCGGGGCAGATGGCGGGCTGCGGCAGGTACGTCTGGGAACAGAAAGGAGAACGTTAGGTGAGGGGAAAGGAGAGCTGCTTCATCGTCACTGAATGGCCCTCAGCCCACTGCCTCGAAGGTGATCTCAGATCCCCAGGGGGTCCACACCTGCTGGCCCCTCCCCCTTCGTCCCTTCAGCAGGACTTTCTGTTCTGGGTCCCCACCACCCACCCAAAGGTCAGGCGGCAGCAAAACGACGTCTCAGGCTGGAGACGAGTGGTTAGAGCCCGGGTCCATTTAGACCACGAGCTTCCAAGGAAAGTGCCCTCGGAAAGTCCTCACCACTTGTTAAGCTAAACTGAAAACAAAACGTTCAGCACATTTATGTTCAGGACTGAAATGACTGCTGTATAGGCTTCTGTGCCCTTTCAGTTGAATGCAAAGGGTTTAAGGTTTGCCCTGAGTATAAAACTCCTAGAATTCATGTCACTGAGGTTTTCCTGAACGATAGCCGCTTTGTTCGGTACGTTGTGATGGTAACGGTGCCGTCGGAAAAGCACAGGCAGACCTGCATGAGGCCGCAGGCACCGGCAGGGGCGGGGGGAGAAACCCCCTCTGCGCCAGCCCACTTTCACAGTCACAACCGAAACTCTGCCTACAAAATGTAAAGCAGCAAATAGGAATTGTAAATTAATATACTCTATCTATCATAACAAAAGAGTAATAGGCTAATTAGGCCAGGAAACCTTCCTGACAAAGCTGGGCTGCGAAGGAGCAGGGGTCCCGGGTGCCAGAGGGAAGCCAGCCGGCAGCCAAGGGAAGGAAGGCCTCTCGCACGAATTTCGTGCATCGGGCCTCTAGTATTTACCTAACAAAATGTACTAATATAAAATAATAAAATATAAATTTAATAAATTACATTTAGTAAGTTAATGTGTTAAATACTTTTTTCTTTTTAGTTTATTAATGTTTAGAGAGAAAGGAAGAGGGAGAGAAACAACTACTGGCTGCCTCCTGCACGCCCCCAACTAAGGATTGAACCTGAAACCTGGTCATGTATCCTGACCTGGAGTCGAACTGGCAACACTTCAGTGCACAGGACAACACCCAACCAACTGAGCCACACTGGCCAGAGCAAATTAATACATTTTTATTGAAAATTTAAATCTGTGCTTAGAGGCTTACTCAGAACAGGGTGGTGATATGACTTTGGCCTGGGCTTTTGTCAAATATTTGGCTTCACTCCTCAACCACTGGGCATTTGATCAGAATATATTAGTTCACTACCAGTGGGAAGTGGTGGACTTTTTACACTGAATATTTTAAAATGACTAAAAAACTGCCATCTGACCCAGTGGTCCCACTTCTAGGAATATATCCTAAGAAGCCCAAAACACTCATCAGAAAGGATATATGCACCCTTATGTTCATAGCAGCACAAGTTACAATAGCTGAGATCTGGAAACAGCCCACGTGTCCATCAGCAGACGAGTGGATAAAAAGCTGTGGGACATTTACACCAGGGAACACTGTGCAGCAGTAAGAAGGACCTCTCACCCTTTGAGACAGCATGGAGGGGCCTGGAGAGTATCATGTTAAGGGAAATAAGCCAGATCAAGTACCACATGATCTCACTCGTATGTGCAATCTAAAGAACAAAATAAGCTGATGGACGGAGTGGATCCAGAAACATGGAAGAATGGAACAGACTGTGAAATCTCGGAAGGAAGGTGGGGGAATCATCAACCAAAGACCTTGTGTGCACACATGCATGGCTCATGGGCATGGACAATAGGGGGCTGAAGGCCTGAGGCGGGGCCAGGGGTGGGCTGGAGGGGGCCAATATGGGGGAGAGGAGGAAGCGGACATATTGTTGAATTATTTTAAGAAATAATAATAAATAAAATGAGTAAAAAAAATCCCAGAGATTATTAGAAATTGAAACTCTATTAAATGACAAAACTATTATGTGAAACTGAATAGCATAGCATGTAAGTAACCACTTTTGGAACCTTAGAGCTACGTCGAGCTGTTTGACACGTGAGCAGCGGTGGACCTGCGGGGCCAGCATGCTGGCTTCTGGGAGCTGTTTATGGTCCAATTCAGCCTCAAGGACGCACTTTCCCCTGTGAGATTCCAGTCCCCACACAGGAAGCTGAGAGACAAAAGGTCACCATCTCCCTCCCTTGTCCATATTCCACCGGACCCGGCCTACTCCACCGGAACCAGTCTCTTCCCAGCAGCCCCGCCGGGCAGGCAGTGGGGGCGCTGCTGGGCCCTGCCTTCCCACCTGCGCCTCGGTAACCTGCCCTTTGCCTCGGAGGGAGCTATTGCCTCACAACCCAGAGAGAGAGCTGAAATTCCCTCTCCACGGCCCGAGGATCAGGTAAATCCAGCCAGGCCCGCCTCCCACGGCAGCCTGCGCCCTCGTCGTCCGCCCGGCTGGCCCTCCGTACCCCTGGGCCCATCTCCCATCTCCTGCCGGAGCTTCCTCCCCCAGCTGGGGGCCAAAGATGCCGCTCCCAGGGCCCTGGGGGAGGTCACAAGGTCAGCCACCGGCCTGAGAGCGTCCCCAGGAGCAGGCCTAGGGGCTGGGAACTGCTTGTCCTGTCCTGAGAGGCTGGACCGGCCGAGGGTGGGGTCCAGGGCGCACCTGATTGTCTCGGGATATGTCGTCCAGAAACACCACCAGGAGGTCTACATGGATTTTTCGTGAATGTGAATAAATTACTTCCTTTCAAGGGTCTCTTTGTTAACCAGGGAGACAAACCTCACAGTTTAAATCAAGAGCTAGCTCAAGACTGAGAGCGAGGATTTTATTTCCTGGAATGTCTGGCTGGAGAGGAGCCTGACCGGCCCTCCTGCCCCCAAGGACCCGGTGGGGGGGGGGGGGGGAGTGTGTGCATGGTGCTGGCCAGGGGCTGCTCTTCCACGTTATCTGGATGATTTGTGACAAAGGACTGCACCCGGTGCCGTCTCCCAGCCAGCCTGTCCGCTAAGTCAGGCCTTTCCCCCCACAGAGCGCCCGCCGCCCAGCCGCCTCACCTGCCGCCCTTGGTCCCGGAAGAACTCCCCGGTGTTCTCAATGACCTGCTCGTCCGACAGCTGGGAGTAGGGCTGCTCCTGGCAGAAGGTGAAGGCCTCCCACAGGGTCACCCCGAAGGCCCACACGTCGCTGGCCGTGGTGAACTTGCCCTGTGTGATCGGCAGGAGAGGAAATCAGACCCCCAGCCCACAGGAGGCTGGTGTCCCACCCCACCACACCCCACCCCGGGCTCTGGACAGTGGGCGGAGCGCTGAGAGGGCCCGGAGTCCCCGACACCCTCATGCCTCGCTCAGGGTCAATGGTCAGAGCAATGGCATTTGGGAAGGAAAGTCTCTTATCCCCCATGGACCAGAAGACCAAGAGTTGAATAAAAACTATAAAACAAAGAATGATGAACTTATAATAAAAAGTAAATGGTGATAGTCATTAAAATAAAAATATAGAGATCAGTGTAAATAATTAATTAGAAACATGGTTATGAAATTAATACAGAAGAAAACTATTTTGTGTGGATAACATTTCTTTAAATGTTTTTTTAGTTCCCTAAACTAATTAAGACCACTCAGTATGTGGGAAGGAGAGAGGGAAAAAACACTAAACCCCTTTATCATCATGGTGTATTTTAACCCTTCCCCCCAAATTTCCCACAGTGAGCACGTCATGTTTACCAGCAGAAATGGGCAAGTCACCATGAGCACTCAAAGCCGGCCATCCCCTCCTGGCAGACACCAGGCCGGCAGCCTGTGCCCGGGAGTCCCCGGCCGCACGCCCCTGCCCGGGGCGGGGGGGTGGGGGGGGCGCCCGCTCACCAGCAGGATGCTCTCCCAGGACATCCAGCGGATGGGCAGCACGGCGCGGCCCTGGATGCGGTAGTAGTCCCCGCTGTACAGGTTCCGGCTCATCCCGAAGTCGGCGATCTTGATGGTGTAGTTCTTGCCCACCAGGCAGTTCCGTGTGGCCAGGTCGCGGTGAACAAAATTCAGGGAAGAAAGGTACTTCATGCCAGAGGCGATCTGAGTCGCCATGAACTTCAGGTTGGTGTAACTGAGGAAAAACAAGTGGGAAGTCGCCCGAGGACAGAGGAGCCATGGTGCCTGACATTCCGCACGGTCCCGGGAACCGACCCCCCATTCCGCTGCTCCCCGATGCAGACAGGGAGGCCTGGCGCTTACCTGACAGTGGGCCCCTGGCTGGGGGTGGAGCCGGGCGGCTCATGGCGGGAGAGGAACTGGTTGAGGTCCCCGTTCTCCATGTACTCGGTGATCATGCACAGAGGGTCGTCGGCGATACACACGGCGAGGAGGCGGATGATGTTGGCGTCCTTGAGGCGGGACATGATCTTTATCTCCTTCAGAAAATCGTTCCTGCGGAGAGAGACACGGGGATCAGCCCAGCGAGCAGAGCAGAGTCGGGAGGTGAAGGCGGCCCAGCACCCGTCCTCCCCGCAGGAGGCTGTTCCCAGAGGGCCTTTGGGCGGACGGAGGACCCGGGCTGCCTCACTCTCACCCGGAGCCAGGCCCCGGCCGCACTGGGACCTTCTGAGAACAAGAACTGTGACGTCACGTCGCAGCCTGCACCCAACCTCAGGCCTACAGGCCTGCCCACGGAGAGTGCCCACGGCTGCACCCGACACGCCACCCAGAACCCCTTCACGGGACATCGCACCTGACACGCACAGCAGCTCACCCCTTGGACAAGCCTGGAGCCGCTCTGCTAATAAGGCCCAGAGCGCCGAAACTGGTTTGGCTCAGTGGATAGAGCATGGGCTTGTGGACTGAAAGGTCCCGGGTTCCATTCCGGTCAAGGGCATGTACCTTGGTTACGGGCACATCCCCAGTAGGGGGTGTGCAAGAGGCAGTGATCGATGTTTCTCTCTCATCGATGTTTCTAACTCTCTATCCCTCTCTCTTCCTCTCTGTAAAAAATCAATAATATATATATTTAAAAATAATAAGGCCCAGAGCCCTCGGTCCACCTGTAACCCTGCATCTTCTCCCGCTGGCGTTCCTCACACAGGCACAGCGGCGTACCAACAGCAGCAGCTTCTTACCGTTGGGGCAGCCACAGGGGGTCGTTTCAGAGGAAGTGCTCACTGGGCCAGGATAGTGACTGTCCCTGCAGTTGGGGACAGCGATGTTTGGGCGGGCGCGACCGCCAGCCCACATTCCCCAAATTACTGCAACGGATCCACTGGTCTCCTGGGAGTTTTCTAGGGAAACTCTATCCATGGACACCCCCAAACCACGTCAAGTACAACAACCCCAAACAGGGGTCCCCATGGCTCTACGGGGCCAGAGCCCTGGCCACAACCACTGCTCAGAGGGTGTGGATGCAGGAAGAGGTGCCACCGCTGGATGAGACCCAAGGGGTCATCTGTCATTCGTACTCCTATCCTTCAACGGGAGTTCTCAGTTCCAATCCCAGGCCCTCAGGTCTCCCTGGCTTTTCTTCTTCACCCCACACCCTGCCCTTTGCAAGACCTTCCTGCACCCGATTCGCCACGTTGGAGCTCACGGTGTTTGAGGAGCAATCAGAAACTCTCTCGCTCTGAGTCTCAGCGAGATGAGGAGGCCAACACGAGTGGGGAAGCGCCTGGTCCTGGGGGGGAGGGGGGGGGGGAGTCCTCCGAAAGGTTGAGGACAGTGGAGGGGTGGGGACTGCGATCTATGGGGGAGAGGGGTCCCTGTGAGGGAAACTGATAAAGGACCGTGGATCCTTCGCTTTGAGGTCCATGGTCCTTTTCCAAGTGGAGGTAGCTTCTCACGGGGAGTTGCTGGACATAGGAGAAAAGGAGCACAAAAGAGGGGACGATGAGAAGGAAATGGAGATGGAAACAAGGACGAGAAGGCTGAGCGGGAGCGTGTGTGACCAGCAGGTAGGACACTCAAGGCCTCTATGGACAACGGCCACGTGTGGGATGTGAACAGGGAGCGAGTCCGGGGGAAAGTGCCTTTGTCTGGGAGGGCGATGGAGAACAAGGTGAGGATGCCGGCCTGGAAGAAGATAACGCGTTACCACGGAAACGTGAAGTGACTCACAGAGAAAAGCTTGCCCAGGAGTTCCCAGGTGTCCCTGACTGAGGATGAGAGCACAGCCACTGACCTGGCATTCTTGTTGGCGTCCGCCCGCAGCATCTTCACGGCCACCAGGACCGGCTGGCTGGCGCTGGCATCGACGGCAAAGTCTTTGCCTTTGAACCTGTCCATTCCCTCCACTTCGCAGAGATGCACCTGGACGAGAGGCACGCGTCTGGGCATCTGAGCTCCAAAGCGGCTCAGCCCCCACACTCACCACACACGTCCCACAATCAGACATAGAAGGAACATGTGACACATCTACCACCCACACACGCATACACACAACACGCCATCCACGGACCAGAACGCGACCCGTGTGAGTGAATGTGCAGCAGTAATCACCACAGCAGGGCTCCCCGCCCAGTGAGCCGCTGTAACCACCGAACCTTCCGGTCAGACAAAGCACCGGGCAATGTCCTAGCTGACCCCTTAGTGCAGGCGGCATTGCAAGTGTGGGATCCTGTAACAGCCTGTGACCGGCCTCTTTGCCTCAGGGCAGGACAGGAACAGAGCACGGACTCCTGTACATCCTGCAGCCCCAACCCACCAGGGCAGGAGCAGCCGCGCCTGACAACCAGCCCCACGCCTGTTAACCGGTCACCGCGGGCGCCCTGACCTCGGAGGAGGCGCGCTGAGGCCAGGACAGCTTGCCCGGAGGCACCCCCGGCTGCTCCTCCTCGGCTCGGCCGCAAGTCAGGCCGGGCGGCTGGGGGACACAGGCGGGGAGCGTGTGCAATCCTCGTACACGTAGCTCCCATGGAGGGGGAGCCAAGTGGCCACCGGGAATGGTGTGGGGCAGTTCCTGAGAGCGGCACATCGCGGGTCCCGCCCTCCGTCCCCGACAAAAGGAACATACTGACGGCCCTCAGGGATGGGAGAGGGTGCCGTGTCTGCTCTAACACTCCCACAGAAGCCCCCGCCCGGGAGCCGCGGGGCGGGCACAGGCAGACCGCGGAGGGTGGCGGCACCACAGGCCCGTCCGCCCGGAGGGACTCGGCTCCGGCGTCCGTCAGGCCACTCACCTCCCCGAACTGGCCCTCCCCCAGCTTCTCCTTGAAGGCCAGGAGCTTGCGGGGGAACTCCTCCATCGCCACGTCCTTCCCCGAGAGCAGGTCCATGGTGAGCGCGGGCACCGAGTAGGTGTTGCCCCCGGTCACGCCCTGCAGGTTCACGATGTCCGCCTCCGCGTAGTGGGGCGCGCCCTCGGCGCCGGGCGGGCCGGGCTTGGCGAGGCCGCTGCAGCCTGGAAGAGAGGGCGAGCGAGCTCTGGTCCGGGGCGCCCAGGGGGGCCGTGAGCGACGGGGATGGGGCCTGGGATGGCCCGGGAGTGACCGGGATGGGGCCTGGGATGGCCCGGGAGTGACCGGGATGGGGCCTGGGATGGCCTGGGAGTGACGGGGATGGGGCCTGGGATGGCCCCGGGAGTGACTGGGATGGGGCCTGGGATGGCCATGAGTGACGGGGATGGGGCCTGGGATGGCCATGAGTGACGGGGATGGGGCCTGGGATGGCCCGGGAGTGACCGGGATGGGGCCTGGGGGCCGTGAGTGAGGGGGATGGGGCCTGGGATGGCCCGGGAGTGACGGGGATGGGGCCTGGGATGGCCCGGGAGTGACCGGGATGGGGCCTGGGATGGCCATGAGTGACGGGGATGGGGCCTGGGATGGCCCGGGAGTGACGGGGATGGGGCCTGGGGGCCGTGAGTGAGGGGGATGGGGCCTGGGATGGCCCCGGGAGTGACTGGGATGGGGCCTGGGATGGCCATGAGTGACGGGGATGGGGCCTGGGATGGCCCGGGAGTGACGGGGATGGGGCCTGGGATGGCCCGGGAGTGACCGGGATGGGGCCTGGGATGGCCCGGGAGTGACGGGGATGGGGCCTGGGGGCAGTGAGTGAGGGGGATGGGGCCTGGGATGGCCCGGGAGTGACGGGGATGGGGCCTGGGATGGCCATGAGTGACGAGGATGGGGCCTGGGATGGCCCGGGAGTGACCGGGATGGGGCCTGGGATGGCCCGGGAGTGACCGGGATGGGGCCTGGGGGCCGTGAGTGAGGGGGATGGGGCCTGGGATGGGCCCGTGAGTGACGGGGATGAGGCCTGGGGGGGCCGTGAGTGACGGGGATGGGGCCTGGGATGGCCCGGGAGTGACCGGGATGGGGCCTGGGATGGCCCGGGAGTGACCGGGATGGGGCCTGGGATGGCCCGGGAGTGGCCGGGATGGGGCCTGGGGGCCGTGAGTGAGGGGGATGGGGCCTGGGATGGGCCCGGGAGTGACCGGGATGGGCCAGCCCCGCCTCCCACCCCACGCGGGGCTCCCAGTGGCATCCTCCTGGCTTTGGCGTGTAGGCCCTCGGCCCTCCGCCTTCCTCAGACCACAGGCCCGCGGCATGCCCTGGGGTGACCTTGGGACGCTAAACAGGCCGTGGCCTGGGCGGGCGCTGTGGCTGGAGCTCTCTCTAGCAGCATCGCCCTTCATAGTGAGGCCCCACCGCTGGCTTAGACCTCGCTGAGGTGCTGAATGCTTTCTGGCAAATTCACAGGATCGAGCCAGGCACCTCCTCACTTGGAAGAAGCATTAAAGCATGAGGGGGGGTCCAGAAGCCAGCTGTGCTGCTCCACCTGGGACGACGTTCAGGTTCTGCCCTTCCCTGCGGCCTGGCTGTGCACCCCGAGGCCGGCACCCCTCAGCACAGCCCCCCTGAGTCCCCGCAGGCAGCTCCCTCTCTTCCCTCCGCGGGCGCTCCCCGGGTCTGCGCCTGCCCTCCCCGCCCCTGAGCACCGTCCCCGCCCCCGACGGGACTCAGCAGCCCTCTGTGTGGCCCACGGCCATTTTTAAAAGGACTCTGGGATGTGAGCCCGCTAGCACTGCCTTACAAGCGGAGCTTTTCCTGAAGAGAGCCAGCAATACGCTCAGAATAAACCTGCGTGACCCCAGGAAACCTCACCAAAGACAGCTGAAATAGGGGAGCCGTTCTGGGTGGGGAAGCCAGGCACCCAGGGCCCTGCAGCCTCGTCTGCCCCCCTACAGGGGACCCCACAGACGTGGAGCAGGGAAGTCCCTTCTCTGGGCACTTGGCCCCTCTGTCACCCGAGGAGGCCAGCGAGGTGGGCAGGAGGCCCTCGGCGACCCCTCTGTGCACCTGCTCCCACCTCGGAGGGGGGCCTGCCAGCACCTGCTCGGGCAGGAGCAGAGGCGTGGTGCTTGGTGGAGGCACGTGGGCGCCAGGAGGGCGGCGTGGCCACTCCCGCTGACCCCCGGTGACACCCCACCCCGGCCACGGCTGCCCGCAGCTCTGCCACCTCACCAGCCTCACCCGGCTCCTCCTCCCCGGGGGCGAACTCCGGGAGCTTGCGGATCAGCCTGGAGGGCTCCTGGTAGTCGGGCCGCAGCGGGAAGATGCGGTCGTAGGTGGAGCTGGAGCCCTGCTCGCTGGGCGGGGAGGAGTGGTGGTTCTGGAACATGCTGGACTGGCTGGGCAGCGACAGGCTGACAGTCATCTCGTCGTCCAGCATCCTCCGAGAAGCCTGGGCAGGGCAGGGAGAGGGGGCTTGCTGCTCAGGGGCCTTCCGGCTCCTCTTACCTTCCCCGCCCCCCACTCTCCCTGCCCCCCTGCCCCAGGCCTCACTTCGAGTCCCCTGAGGCCCTGACATGCTATTCATCTGACCCACTAAGAGCCTATCTGTTTCACCCAGAGCTCAGTCCCAGCAGTGACTGGGCCACCTTCCCGCGCTGCTGGGCAGCCGCACAGGTGTCACAGCACAGAGTCCGAGCTCACCGACCCCTGCCCCAGCCTACCAGCGCCGTGTGATGAACAGAGGGCTGCATGCCAGCTGCACCCACCGCTTCAGAGCGCAGCAGCTCCTGCTGGCGTCCTGCCTAACGTGACGGCTGCTCCTTCAGAAAGTCTGACCCTATGGCTGCTGGGCCCTCACCTCACACTGTGGTGTCGTGAGACACTCAGACACCTGCCTCGTCCCCAGCCTGCCGGTCCCCGTGGCAGTAAAATCCCCAAACCCAAGCGGAGCCAGCACACCAGTGGTTTTGAAAGCGAGGCCCAGGGGAGGGGGAAAGCCTGGCTCTCAGAGAGCCGGCTCTGGCGTGGGGAGCAAAGAGCCACCCCTGGTCCCAACCTGCTGTGCCATCAGGACATGGCAGCTCTACTGCCCGCAACCTCAGTCCACAGACCAGCACCTCCACTTCTGCCCGCCCCACGGCCACCCCCCGCCTGGATGGCAGACAAATGCCAGACATCATGCTTGCGGCAGGTGCCTCCTGTCCGTCTCAGTCGCTGTTTGTGGTGAGGGCTTTACCTCAGGGAAAGTGCTCTCAGACGGCCGATGGAGGCCTAAGCCGCAGGGAGGCACAGCCTCGCCGCTGTGAAATGCTGCGGCTGAAAGCCCAGCGCCAACCTCAGTCATCCCAGACACTGACTGGGCAGCTCAGTCTGGAGCCCCGCGATGCCATCCGACCTCCCTGCCTCTCCCGCTCCCCCTCCCCGTGGGCACAGGTCTCCAGGGGCTGCCCAGGCTCCGCCTCCCCGCCCCTCCCCGTGGGCATGGTCTCCGGGGATCTCCCAGGCTCCGCCTCCCCGCCCCTCCCCTCACAGGCAGTGCCAGCCCCACAGCCCACGTCCACAGGAGCTCCCAGCCCAGGAGGACATCCACGACCAAAGGTAGAAACTGTTACTCAGAGGAGGAGCCTGAGACACTGAATAGTCGTGTCCAAAAGACTGGCCTCTGCCCAAGCAACCAAGCAAGTCATAGCTAGTGCACCTGTGTGAGCTGAGCACGTTTGGGAAGAAATAACATATTTCAAGACTGAAAGAACACAGAGACCACGTGTGAGTTGTGTGATGGAGAGCACGTCACGTATTGTCATGAGAAAGGCCGTCGGGCACACTCTGCCCAACTCGCCATCCCTCAGGGAGGGTCACATAGAGGTGCTGGTAGACGGTAAAGTGTTAGACAAACGTAGTAACAATTACTCAGATAATTTGGCCTGGATAAAAAACTCTGAGGAAGGGCCAAAGGGATGGACAACTGTAACTACGCGAGCAGAGAAATAGGAATAGAACTGTGAGGACATGGCTTGGATATTAGTGAGGCTGGTTATTTTACACACGCACACACACACACACACCAAAAAATAAACAGCAAAGAGGAGCAGCATTGGCAGAGATTTTAGGTAGGTATGAGTTGTCCATCAGAATCACTTGTTAGTTTTTTTAAATTGTGTTTTAAGAGAGAGGGGAAGTGAGATGAAGAGAGAAATAGAAACATCGATGGAAGAGAAACATTGATCAGCTGATTCCTGCACATCCACAACCTGACATGAGCCCTGACAGGGAATCCAACTGTGACCTAGTGCATGGATCAATGCTCAGCCGCTGAGCCACACCAGCTAGGCTCCTGCTAATGTTTTAAAATAAATAAGTGTATGTGTATTTTTTATTGATTTCAGAAAGAAAGGGAGAGAGAGAGAAACACCAATGATGAGAGAGAATCATTCAGCAGCTGCTCCTGCACGCCCCACACTGGGGATGGAGCCTGCAACCCAGGCCTGTGCCTGACCGGGAATAAAACCATGATCCTGGTCACCCACTGAGCCACGCTGGCTGGGCCTCCTGTTAATGATTTTTAACGCACATGCCTGCACTCCCCTCTCCCCAGGAACAGGCATCTCCATGGCGAAGCTGACTGAGATCTAACAATGGGGAGGAGTCCTCTGGGAGGTCCCAGTCTCCACTCTGACAACGAGAGCCTGGGCTTGGCCCGTCCTTTCCTGGCTCCCTCCCTGCGAGCCACCCCCTGTGCTCCCGGGGCCTGGGCGGGCTCCTCACAGGTGCAAACTCTCACAGTTCACCCTTGGGTGCTGGGCAGCCGCGGCCTGGCCCACCTCACCTTCTCCAGCATCTTCTGCCAGAACTGCCTCCACAGGATGGTGACGATGACGGCCAGGAGGATGAAGATGATGGCCACGAGGCAGCCGATCAGGATCCGGGTGTTGCTGTCGTCAACTTTCAGCATGGGGTCTGCACCCAGGAAGAGACGGAGAACGCTGTCATCGCGCGGGACGAGGAAGAGGAGGGGCTAGGCCAGGGACAGGGGCCTCAGGTAATCCCTCCTGTGCCACCTCAACACCTGCTTCTTCTAGGCCTGCTACTCAGTCCTCTCGCCCCTCCCCCCGCGTCAGACTGGGTCACGGACAGCTTTCCGACTATCCCCAGTGCTGCTCCCATATCAGCACAGCCGGGTCCACGGTCCCTCGTTACCCCGCGTGAGAACGGGGGAGGGTCCCGGCCTGTGCTCCCTGAGATGTGACAACTCCAGGGCCACACATTCCCAGGCGGCTGGCTCCCGTGGCCAGTGAGTGTCCGGACCAACGAACACACGTCTGCACATTTATCTTTGATTAGAGAGACCAGTGCGGCTCTCAGCATCCCACCGGTCCATGGAGACCCCGGGGCCTCCCCCTGCTTCTGCTCCCGTTTCCCCAGCTCTCACGAAGCCGCTGGAAGCAGGCCACCTCCGCCTGGGCAAGCACATGCGGGCAGGGAGGAGTGGGCGCTGGGCCCACCCGTGGGGGCGCTGTCTCCGGGCAGAGCCACCCGCACCAGCGCCCACACACACAGCAGGTGCCGTCTCCGCCCCAGGAGCCCCCTTCACCCGGCTGTGGACGGCAGACTCACCATAGGTGGTGGGCGCCCCCGGCGAGGCGGGCGGGGCCCCGGAGGTGTTGTACATGGCGGCATCTGCGGGGACAGCGAGTCAGTGCGTGGGCGGAAGCAGGCAGGTCTCACAGAGGCAGCCCAGCCCGGCCCGGCCCGGCGTGAAACCAGCTCCGAGGCCTGCCACCCACCTTACTTAACCCACTGGACGCCATCAGAGTCTGCAGACGCAAGAGGCAGACCTTCCCCCCACGCCACATGCATCTATAAAAAAAGCTTTCCCTAAGTGCAGCCCTGACCAACTTCAAAATCATTTTTTCATGAGAATTTTCAGCTGAAAATATTCAAGAACACCCAGATTGTGAGTAATATATTTATAATATTCAATGGAAATTGATTTTTTAAATTCAATTCAAAATACCATGGTGTGTGGGGATGGTTTCCATTTTGGATGCATGGCAGTTAAACATGAAGCCGTGGCTTACATTAAATAAAAATATCACCACTCATATATTAGTAAGTGCAACTTTTGTGAAACTTTGTGTAAGTCATTATAGACGAGGCGCCATGATATGAGAAACAGTGATGTGGCCCTGGCCCGTTTTGCTCAATGGTTAGAGCGTCAGCCCATGGCCTAAAGGGTAACCGGTTCAATTCTGGCCAAGGGAACATACTTGATTGCAGGCTCCATCCCCAACCAGGGCACATGTGGGAGGCAACCAATCGGATCTCTCTCATATTGATGTTTCTCTCTGTGTCTCCTCCCCCACCCCCGCCCACTCTCTCTAAAAATTAATGGGGAAAAAGTCCTTGGATGAAGACTAAGAAGGAAAGAGAAGAAGGAGAGAGAGGGAGAGAAGGAGGAAGAGAAGCAGAAAGGGAGGGAGGGAGGAAGGTAGGTAGGGAGGAAGGGAGGGAAGGAAGAGATGGGGAAAAGGTGATGCGGAGAGCCGTGACTACATATTATCACAAAGCTCATAGGAAGTAAGACCTGAAGTCAGAGAGGGCACAGGAGCCGGGTAAGGGGCCAGGCAGGCTCCTGCCAAGGGCCTCTGTCCCTGCAGAAGACCAGCTGTGCGCCCGAAGGGCTCTCACCCCGCAACGGCCTGGCCTGGACTGGTGAGGACGCCTTGTCCTGGCACAGAGGCAGCACCCAGTGTTCTCTCTGGGAGGCCACTCTGCAGGACTGGACCCGGCATTCACCAGACTGAGGTGGGCACTAAAGCTCCCTCTGGGGCGTCTGGCCGAGGGGGCCAAGAGCTGGACCTGCCCTTCTGTTCTGAAGACATGTCTATCCACACCTGCATGCCTCTCCCCCTGCACGCTTCACACGTGTGCGCCGTGCTAGCCTTCCGGGAGTCCCGGAATGGGTCCTCGGGGTCCGGTGAACACGAGATTATCGTGACGTGGAACCAAAGCTCAGGAGGCCCAGGAGCCAAACACCATACAGGCTGCCATTAGCGGCACCGGTGCCAGCCGCGGGCACCCCCTGCGCATGGACGGGAGTCCGCGGTCCCCGTTCACACACATAAGCGCGTTGGGACATCGGTCCATCTGCTCTTCACCAATGCTTCCTATGGACGGCCAGCCATGGCTTCAGACGGACCTCGCCCACAGGACGCGGGCACGGCCTGGCTTTCTGAGCAGCACCTCCTGAGGGCGATGCATCTTTTAGTTTCTTCTCTAAAGCCAGCTCAGGAAGGGGTCTGACTCGCCCTGAGCCCGTTTCTCCTCCTCGCCTGCTGCTCCTCGCCCACATGTGTCCTCCGGCCACGTACGGGCCCAGTCCCCGGGCAGCGTCCGGCAACGCCACTGCCTGCGGCCTCTTCTCTCCTCTGGCCACTGATTGCTGGTCCCTCAATGCCCTTTGGCTTCTCTGACCTGGCACAGTGCCCTGACCCCGCAGTGACCTCTGGACGTCATTCCCTCTGACAGCAACCGTGATCGCCGGAGGAAGTGGCTGGCCTACCTCTGGGGCAGTAAACGCTCAGAACGGGCTTGGGGCACCTGTTCCTCTAAACACAGGAGTGTTCCCGAGGCTGTGGGGCCGGGCCCGGGTGCTCCCTGCAGGACGGTCTAAGAATCAGAAAGCAGAGGCGCTGTATGTGACTCACACACTGAACTCATAAAGAGCAGTCAAGTAAGTGTGCAATGAACCAAAACAGACAAGGACGGAAAGCAAACACTCATTGGACTTCCGTGAAGGTGCGAGGGCACCTGCTCCCACTGACAGCAGACGCGGGGGAAACACATATGCAGAGGGGCCCGGTCAGAAGACGCGGCGGCTGGTGAGTGCAGAGGAACCCAAGAGGCGGAGGCCACCCATCAGCATCCCTGAGGAGCTGACTGCTCAAGCAGCGGGCATCATGGAGGTGCAGGCTCATGGGTATCGTCCCTCTCCCTGCCTGAGCGCTCCTAACAGCCAGCCCAGGTTTGACCTAAAGCACTGAACACATCCCGGAGGTTAAATCTGCTGACTTCCTGACCCGTGAGAAAGTTTCACACACTCCCAGGTTACTCACAAATCACTTTCAGAAAAGAAACCAGGAAAAGACTAAAAACCTATGCAAGCCTACTGCTTGTCCTTTAAAAACATTTTTTTTAGGGGCAGGGGTGAAAGCTCTGGCAGGTTAATCAGGCAAAAATTTCCCTAATAAGACACTCAGCCCTGGCTCAGTGGATGGAATGTTGGCCTGTGGACTGAAGGGTCCTGGGTTTGATTCTGGTCAGGGGCACATGCCCGGGTTGTGGGCTCGATCCCCAGTAGGGGGCATGCAGGAGGCAGCCGAACAATGATTCTCTCCCATCATTGATGCTTCTATCTCTCTCCCCCTCCCTCTTCCTCTCTAAAATCAATAAAAATATTTTTAAATAAAAATAAAAGTCTCCCCTTCCAGCAAAAAAATAAATTAAAAAAGCTCAAAGCACCATCTAAGAGCCATTGACAAAAATAAACATGGAACCAGAATTGAAATCAGCCTTAGACATACCCTCTCGTCTGAGGGATGAGCCACCAGCCAAACCAGAACGCAGTTTTTAAAAGGGGTTGTTTCAGATTAAAAGAGACATTTGAGAATAAAATAAAGGAAATAGCCCGAAAGGGCCTTCTCCCATCAGCCAAGTCAGAGACATCAGGAGACAGCAGGAAGAGGGGGCGGGCCTCGGGGACAAGGCTAGATGTCACGTGGTGTGTGAAGACTGTGCTATTTTCCAAGCGGCACCCTAACATCTTTAGGAATGAAATCAGACATTGCCTTAGATTCACCCTAAAATGCTGTGGCAAAGGGGAGAACAGAGCAAGCAGGTGTGAGGGCCGGAGCGGGGACGGAGGGCTGTGCTCCTTCCTGTGTTCAGAACGTTTCCTCCGGACGTTTGGACAGGACGTGGGCCTCCGCGGACGGCCCACTACAGAGGCGTCCGGCACGCGGCGCCTCGCTCTCCAGTCCTCCTCTCAGCTCCTCCAGACACACACGGGAGAGCCAGCAAACGGCCTCCCCGCCGTGGGCCCTGTGCCCGCGGGGTCCCTCCGTGCCACCCGCCCGGCCCGGCCCACCTGACTGGAAGGTGATCTCGCTGAACATCATCCAGGTGTCGGCGAAGTGGTACTGGCACTTGAGGGCGCTGGCCATGCGGTGCTGCAGCGGCACGGTGACGAAGCGGGCGCTGGGGTTCACGTCGTCCAGCACCAGCGGGAAGCTCACGGCGTTGGGCTCCCACTCGCCGGCCTCCGAGCGGAAGTAGCACTGCACCTCCCTGAAGGTCTTCACGCCCTTCTCGAACATGTTGTTGCAGTGCACCTGGGGGGGAGGGTGTGACTCTCCCTCCACACCCGCATCCCGCACAGACCACATGCCCTGCATGCCAGGCCTCAGGCGGCGGAGGTCACCCGTCCTTGGACAGAGCCCCCGGGTCCCTCCAGAGAAAGGCTGAGGCTGCCATGGGGGCCAGGGGGGAGGGCGAGCGCTCCGGCCAAGGGGAGCCCGCAGCCGCTCCCTGGTCACTGGCCTGCGGGGCTGTGACCCAAACAGGGCTCTGCCAGGCCCCTTCCTGCCCTCAAGCGCCTCCCCGCATCCGCGTGGCAGAACGTTTGGCCTAGAGACAGACACTGGCACCAGCGACTGGGGTGGCCACCTGGCCGCCCTGCGGTGACTGAGCGTCCCCTGCTGAGTGCAGGGCCAGAGCCCACGGCCGTGGGGGAGACGGGCCAGCCAGAGACCAGGCGCACCCTGCCTGTGGGCAGCTGTGCTCGGGGCTGGGGAGGCGCTGGGCGGGGAGTGGTTCAAAATGCAAAGCCCCCGGCCCACGCCCAGTCCCGTGGGAAAAGCACCAAGCAGAGGTCCCTCCGGGGGGCAGCCTCCAGGGTGGGCAGCCTCCTGGGGGACAGCCTTCTGGGGGACAGCCTTCTGGGGGGACAGCCTTCTGGGGGACAGCCTCCTGGGGGACAGCCTCCTGGGGGGCAGCCTTCTGGGGGGCAGCCTTCTGGGGGGCAGCCTTCTGGGGGAGACAGCCTTTTGGGGGACAGCCTTCTGGGGGAGACAGCCTTCTGGGGGAGACAGCCTCCTGGGTGGGACAGCCTCCTGGGTAGGACAGCCTTCTGGGTGGCACCTCCCTGCACATGGTCGCCGCCCAGCCTGGCACTTGTGCCTCTGGGGCCCCTCCCCACTTAACAAGATATTAAATCAAGCTGTGTTGTTAAAAGGGGAGGGTAATTTTTGGCCCCAAAGGTAATTGTTTTCTTCTGATATTTAAAGAAGTTAACCATTTCTGTGGGCCTACAAGCATGGTGGGCCCTGGAGACCGCCCGCCATGCCGATGGGCGCACCAGCTCCACGCTGGCACCACCCTGGCGCCACGCAGCAAGGGGCAGCACCTCGTCCGCCTGCAGCCTGTTTACAGCGAGGAGATGCCAGTCAGCAGCCCCCCCCATGCCCATGGCCATGGCCCGCTGACCTTCATGGTGGTGAAGTTCCGGATGCGGTCAAACTCAAACACCATCTCGATGTAGCCGCTGGCCACGCTCTCGTTCCTCCAGCCCACGTAGTCGTAGCCGGGCCACACGTGGTACTCGTGGGTCTGGGTGAAGTCATCCAGGCCGGACACGCCGTCCGTCAGCTGGCCCAGCCCCTCGGTCATGCTGCCGCCACGGGTGAGAGGGGGACAGAGGCCCTCGTTAGCGCGCCCGGAATCTCAGAATCGCCGTCCGCTGGTTCTGAGAGCTGGTTACCATGGAGGCACGGGGCATGAAAAACCCGACATACCTCACCGCCTGGGCTCGTCCATCCGCATCGGAGCAGCACTAAGCTTCACACCGACGCAGTTTGCAAAAACATTTGGTTTTGATTCCCTTCAGTAGCAAAGCTTTTAAACCATATCTTATCACTTCCTATGCTCTTTTGTGTCCTTACTTATTCTTACACACTGAACTAACAGGTCTTGTTATAATGACCCAATGTTATCGAAGACATTGACTAATGAATCCAGGAGAGCGAGTGAGTGACGTACAGGGAGTGGACAGCGGCCTGCCCGTCCCATGTGCTGTCCCTGAGCTGGTGGGAAACCAGTTATTCAGGGAGTGAGTCCCAGGCAGCCAGCCCGCACCCCAGCACCCCATCCCACACCAAGCCGAGGGCAGGAGGCCCCTGCCCCTCCGCCCGCCCCGGGAGAGGCGAAGGCTGAGAGGGCGAGCCGGCAGTCCCAGGAGTCCTGGCAGGGGCACAGAGCCGAGGACCGTGCGGTGGCTCCAGACGGAGCGGGGGTGGGGGGTAGGGGTGGGGGTGGGTTGGGGGGGGTTAGACTTCTTGAGGTGCCACTCGGTAAATGATAGGAATGTCTACTTACTACGCTGTACACCTGAAAACAACCCGAAATCATACTGGAAGTAAACTGCAATTTAAGAATCAAAACCTGCCACATTTAACACTCATTTACATTTAACTTAAACTCACAGACAATGAGCCCCACGGAGTGAGGGGCATGGGTGTCACGGGGTCTGGGCCGGGCAGCCCTCCGCCCCGGACAAGGCGCTCCGCGGGCGGCCTGCGGGAGGGAGCTCGGCCCTTTCCGGGAGGGACTCTGCCTGGGAGCTCTGTCCTCTCAGCCTCGGCGTCTCTGCTCCCCTCCTCGTGTCACGGCTCAGCCTCCACGCCTCGCTCCCTGCCTGAATGCCCCTCGGCATCCCCACCCTGTCACCATGTGGCCGGGAACCTCATCCTGCCCCACCCTGTCCTGGCCCTGGCATTCCGGTTCCTCTGAATTGTGATAAAATCTGCCTCCCTCTGCCTCGCGCCTGTGGCTTCAGTGAACCCAACTGCTGCTCTCCCTCTAAAGAAAGGTCGTGGTCCTGTCCACCTGCTGCCCCTCTGCCTCTGGCACCATTTCCACGCCCTGGCGCCACGCAGCAAGGGGCAGCACCTCGTCTGCCCCACCACCGTCCGGGCCCATCTAGCCACCCCCTCCCCCCCAGGGTGCTCGCCGGCCCTCCGTTCACATACAGCTACCGCCCTTCACGGGCACTTCCATCGTTTCCATCACATGAGCCTCGGACAAAGCGAAGGGACCTTGGTGGCTGGACTCCTCCTGGCGTGGCCCTCCTCTGCGCCAGGCCGCTGGGGACATGCTCACTCACACCGCGTACGGCCCTACTGTGCGCTCCGGGCCAGCGGCTGCAGCTGAGAGTGCCTGCCATGCCTGGCAGGTGCCTGTCCCTCAGGCCGATTGGTGAGCGAACTGGACTGAAGCCTGGCACTTCCTCCGGGCCAGGGAATCGCCGGCTGTGGCTGATAAAGCAGCGGGGAGAGGGCCCAGAGGCGGGAAGGAAGTGCTGGAGCAGGAGGCTGGGTCAGGGTGGCAGGGAGCCGCCTGCTCTCCCCTCAGGGCTGTGGGCATGGTCCTCACGTTCCTGAATCACCAACCTCGGAGCTCCTGTCCGGCCCGCGCTGTGGGCTGCCTCCGCAGGCTCCACTTTTGCCGATTATACTGAGCTGAGGAGCTGAGGTGGTGACGTGGGCAGGCAAACGGCCAGGTATGGTGGCACGGGGGCAGGTGGGACAGGTCTTATCCAACCCTACTTCCCGCAGGCCCAAACACAGCCTCACAGGTCACTTCAGGCTGTCACTGCTCCAGCTCCTGGGCCCTCAAATCCTCCACCCACACCCACCCTCAGCTCCAGCTCCTGGGCCAGGCGTCCTTGTCCTCACCCCCCACCCCCACCCCACCCTCAGCTCCAGCTCCTGGGCCAGGCATCCTTATCCTCACCCCCTATCCCCACCCCACCCTCAGCTCCAGCTCCTGGGCCAGGCGTCCTTGTCCTCACCCCCCACCCCCACCCCCACCCCAGCCTCAGCTCCAGCTCCTGGGCCAAGTGTCCTTGTCCTCACTGCACACTTCCCCACCCCAGCCCCCGCCCCCGGGCTCCAAGGACTAGCCCATCCTCAAAACCAAACTCGCCTTGTCTACTCTAAGCCTTTCCTCCTGGCCCCGTCTTTTCACACCTTCTAAAGCACCTATAGTTATGGGGGTCATTCTGTGCAATTTATTAACGGGCGCCCCATTCCCTGCAGCTGTGCACGGCTGCCCTTCATGCGTCAGACCCTGTGTTCTGCTTCCAGGGAGAGCACAGCTGCCCCTCGGCCCTGGAGCCTTCCCATTACCTCAGTCTCCCCGCCAGGCCCCACTGCCTGGTGAGTACGCTACCCATTGGCGTCATCTGAATTATCTCACAGTGCCCAGGACAGAGTCTGAAGAAACACTGGATGGTTGATTGATTGATTGATTGGCTATTGATCCCAAACCATGATAAAATAAAGTTCTCTTTTAGTAGCCATTTCCCATTCTGAGCACCCAAGTCTCCAAGAGTTTACCGGTAACCCACAGCTCCGTGTCCCAGACTTTACCCCACAGCCCCGTGTCCCAGACTTTACCCCACAGCTCCGTGTCCCAGACTTTACCCCACAGCCCGTGTCCCAGACTTTACCCCACAGCCCGTGTCCCAGGGTTTACCTTACAGCCCCGTGTCCCAGAATTTACCCCACAGCCCCATGTCCCAGGGTTTACCTTACAGCCCCGTGTCCCAGAATTTACCCCACAGCCCCATGTCCCAGGGTTTACCCCACAGCCCCGTGTCCCAGAGTTTACCCCACAGCCCCGTGTCCCAGGGTTTACCTTACAGCCCCGTGTCCCAGGGTTTACCTTACAGCCCCGTGTCCCAGGGTTTACCTGGACCCCACAGCCTCGTGTCCCAGAGTTTACCCCACAGCCCCGTGTCCCAGGGTTTACCCCACAGCCCCGTGTCCCAGGGTTTACCTGGACCCCACAGCTCCGTCGTAGACAGAGTCGTTCAGGTAAATGACGGCGCCTCCAGGGAGCACAAACTGCTGGCCGGCCGGGGCGTTGTAGGACACCAAGCCGTCTGGAGGGGAAAAGACGGTCAGCCCGGGAGCTGGCCAGCCCCGAGCCCCCAGGCCTGACCTGGGCACAGGAGCCCAGCTGCGGAGTCCACAGAGCAGCGGGCGACTGACGTGATGGGGACCCCACCCTGGAGGGGACCAGCGCTGGGTGAGCGATGCCCTTCTCTCCTCTGACCGGGGCGGCTGCCGGGGGGCCACCCACCGCCGCCGCTCGCAGACCTACCGAGCCAGACGCAGCCGTAGAGCTCCACCCGCATGCACACGTTCATGGAGTGGTCGGTGACCGGGATGAAGCGGACGAACCTGGCCACGATGGGCGGCTCCAGGTCCTTCAGGAAGATGTCGTAGGGGTTGCTGCTCCCGTCCAGCACCTGAGCGGAGAGCGGAGCGAGTGCGACGGCCGTGACACCCGCGGACCCCCCTCCCGGGCTCCCCAGGGCCGACGCCCCCTCCACCTGCTTCCCGTGCCGGTTCCGCCAGGAGATCCAGCGCGCGCCGTCCCGGCTGTAGTGCAGCCGGTACATGGGGGCGAACTCGATGCCGTGGCCGCCGGCGTGGCGGCCCTGGGTGCCCACCAGGGTGATGAAGTGCAGGGAGTGCAGGTCGATCTGCAGGAACTCCTTCAGGTCGTCCGGCTCCACCGGGACCTCCGGGCACCAGGCTCCATCCCCCTCCTCCGAGTCCAGCCTGCGGCACACGGGGGACGGGGCCGTGACCCCCAGACACGCCGCTCCCCGGGGGGTCAGGCCCCTCTCCCCAGCACCCGGGGCCAGAGGACAGTCACCCTGGGAGCTGGGCCTCAGGGCACAGGAGGCCTGATTCCAGAGGCAGGACCTCAGTGGAAGGGCCGTGCGTGACACCTCCCCACAGCCACGGCACCTGCCGCCCCTGGTGGCCGCCTGGATGTCACTGCGGGTGGGAGGAGGGGCTCAGGCTCCCGTGTGGCAGGAGGGGCGTGGCTACCCAGCAAGGGGAGACATGGTGGGAGGGAGGGGTGGAGAACCGGAGTTATCTGGCCCTAACAAGCAGAGGGGCGTGGGACAAGGAGCCGATTCCTGCAGAGACCAGTCCCCGAGCACGGAGCACCACGCTCCCGGGGATGGGGGGTGGGGGCTCCCGGGAGGCATCCTTGGGAGCAGGGTGCTCCCAGAGCAGGCCCCGGAGGCTCGTCTCTGAGCGCAGGTCCTCACTGGCCTGTACCTCCCGCGTCTGCCGTCAGGCCGCCCCGGCCCCCCTGGGGCCCGCCCTCACCGTCCGTATCTGGCCGCGGTGGACTCTGACCACTGGCTGGACGCAGTGATGTCCTCGTCCGGAATGTGGCCTCCCGACATGCCCAGGGGGTAGCGGCACACGGCTGGACCGAGAGAAAGCAAAGACAGGAAACCGTGGCTTTACGTCCGGAGCCCCGGGAGAGGGCAGGGTTACTGGACGGGAAAAGGCGGCCGCGTCCTCAGGTGGCTGTGACCCGCTTTGCTCCTGTGACGCTCAGCCTTGCCTCCCAGTTCCGCCCCCAAACCGATGACCACGCCATCGTCCGAGCGTTGACCGTGGCCCAAGTACCAATTGGTCCAAACGCTGACAAGGACTCTAATGCGAGCTGTGTCGCTCTCCCCCACACACTCTCTGCCAGCAGGTGTGGGCTCCCCGCAACCGGGCAGGGCCAAGAACACCCCTTCCTCCGGGGTGTTTCCTGGGACTGGAGCAGCCCAGGGGCCCGGGAGGCGCTGAGCAGTTCGAGGCCCATCGGCACTGGCTGGACCCGGCTCAGTCCGGAACCTGGGATGGACCCTCCACCGAGGGAGGGCCGGGCCAGGCGCTCCCCTGGTGAAACAAACACAGAAAAGGACAAGGCGTGGAAAAGTGGGTCCAACACAGCGGACATGAGACCACGCAGGGCAGCGGCCCTGAAAGGACAGGAGGCGACGAGCCCACTCTGCACCAGCTCCTGCCACCAGCCGGGCTCAGGAGTGAGAGCCCTGGGGGCTGGAGGGTGTCCTGAGTGGGGACAGAGCGGAGCCCGGAGCCCGGAGGACAGGAGACAGAGCGGAGCCCGAGGACAGGGGACAGAGCGGAGCCCAGAGGACAGGGGACAGAGCGGAGCCCGGAGGACAGGGGACAGAGCGGAGCCCGGAGCCCGGAGGACAGGGGACAGAGCGGAGCCCAGAGGACAGGAGACAGAGCGGAGCCCGAGGACAGGGGACAGAGCGGAGCCCGGAGGACAGGAGACAGAGCGGAGCCCAGAGGACAGGAGACAGAGCGGAGCCCGGAGGACAGGGGACAGAGCGGAGCCCGGAGGACAGGGGACAGAGCGGAGCCCGGAGGACAGGGGACAGAGCGGAGCCCGGAGGACAGGAGACAGAGCGGAGCCCGAGGACAGGGGACAGAGCGGAGCCCAGAGGACAGGAGACAGAGCGGAGCCCGAGGACAGGGGACAGAGCGGAGCCCGGAGGACAGGAGACAGAGCGGAGCCCAGAGGACAGGGGACAGAGCGGAGCCCGGAGGACAGGGGACAGAGCGGAGCCCGGAGGACAGGAGACAGAGCGGAGCCCGGAGGACAGGGGACACAGAGCGGAGCCCGGAGGACAGGGGACAGAGCGGAGCCCGGAGGACAGGGGACAGAGCGGAGCCCGGAGGACAGGAGACAGAGCGGAGCCCAGAGGACAGGAGACAGAGCGGAGCCCGAGGACAGGGGACAGAGCGGAGCCCGGAGGACAGGGGACAGAGCGGAGCCCGGAGGACAGAGCGGAGCCCGGAGCCCGGAGGACAGGGGACAGAGCGGAGCCCGGAGGACAGGGGACAGAGCGGAGACCGGAGGACAGGGGACAGAGCGGAGCCCGGAGGACAGGGGACAGAGCGGAGCCCGGAGGACAGGAGACAGAGCGGAGCCCGAGGACAGGGGACAGAGCGGAGCCCAGAGGACAGGAGACAGAGCGGAGCCCAGAGGACAGGGGACAGAGCGGAGCCCGGAGGACAGGAGACAGAGCGGAGCCCAGAGGACAGGGGACAGAGCGGAGCCCGGAGGACAGGGGACAGAGCGGAGCCCGGAGCCCGGAGGACAGGGGACAGAGCGGAGCCCGGAGCCCGGAGGACAGGGGACAGAGCGGAGCCCGGAGGACAGGGGACAGAGCGGAGCCCAGAGGACAGGGGACAGAGCGGAGCCCGGAGGACAGGGGACAGGGGACAGAGCGGAGCCCGGAGGACAGGGGACAGAGCGGAGCCCGGAGGACAGGGGACAGAGCGGAGCCCGGAGGACAGGAGACAGAGCGGAGCCCAGAGGACAGGGGACAGAGCGGAGCCCGGAGGACAGGGGACAGGGGACAGAGCGGAGCCCGGAGGACAGGGGACAGAGCGGAGCCCGGAGGACAGGGGACAGAGCGGAGCCCAGAGGACAGGGGACAGAGCGGAGCCCGGAGGACAGGGGACAGGGGACAGAGCGGAGCCCGAGGACAGGGGACAGGGGACAGAGCGGAGCCCGGAGGACAGGGGACAGAGCGGAGCCCGGAGGACAGGGGACAGAGCGGAGCCCAGAGGACAGGGGACAGAGCGGAGCCCGGAGGACAGGGGACAGGGGACAGAGCAGAGCCCGAGGACAGGGGACAGGGGACAGAGCGGAGCCCGGAGGACAGGGGACAGAGCGGAGACCGGAGGACAGGGGACAGAGCGGAGCCCGGAGGACAGGGGACAGAGCGGAGCCCGGAGGACAGGAGACAGAGCGGAGCCCGAGGACAGGGGACAGAGCGGAGCCCAGAGGACAGGAGACAGAGCGGAGCCCGAGGACAGGGGACAGAGCGGAGCCCGGAGGACAGGAGACAGAGCGGAGCCCAGAGGACAGGGGACAGAGCGGAGCCCGGAGCCCGGAGGACAGGGGACAGAGCGGAGCCCGGAGCCCGGAGGACAGGGGACAGAGCGGAGCCCAGAGGACAGGGGACAGAGCGGAGCCCGGAGGACAGGGGACAGAGCGGAGCCCAGAGGACAGGGGACAGAGCGGAGCCCGGAGGACAGGGGACAGAGCGGAGCCCGGAGGACAGGGGACAGAGCGGAGCCCGGAGGACAGGGGACAGAGCGGAGCCCGGAGCCCGGAGGACAGGGGACAGAGCGGAGCCCAGAGGACAGGGGACAGAGCGGAGCCCAGAGGACAGGGGACAGAGCGGAGCCCGGAGGACAGGGGACAGAGCGGAGCCCGGAGGACAGGGGACAGAGCGGAGCCCGGAGGACAGGGGACAGAGCGGAGCCCGGAGGACAGGGGACAGAGCTTGCAGGAAGGACAGGCCAGAGGAAGTGCAGGCCTCCCAGCTACACTTACATTCCAGACAAAAACAAATACCCTGAGCTAAACATGTCCCATGTAATTAGGAATAAACAGTCATGTAAAGAAGCAGGGAAATAGAACCTTTAATGAAAAACAATCAACCAATTGCAACTGATTCAGAGCTAATATAGAAATGAGTGTTGGGAACTCAAACAGTAAAACAGAACTGTGTTGCATGTATTTAAACTGTAAGGAGAGCTTATATAATACCAGTGCCCTGGTGCATGGATTTGTGCACATTGAAAGGAAATTAATCAGAAGGTGGCTGGCGGGGCGGGACACGCCCTGGAGCCAACCTCCATGGTCCCTCCCCAGCAGCGGCACCTGGGGTGGCATCGGCCGAGTGAGCAGGGCCCCTCCAGCAGGTGGGGTCCCTCGGCCTGGCCTGTGGGGATGGGGCCAAAATCAACTCTCCAAAATTCCCCGAGGGTCCCAGGGTGCGAGAGGGCATTCTGCAAAGCTGCTGTGGTACAGGGTTTGGAACACAAACACAAGTGAGCAGTAACCAGATTCGGAGCAACAGTGCCCCACATAGCCCACAGCTGAAGGTGGAATCATGTGGCCCCACGAGGAATCAGGCTCCCTCCTCTCTGGTTTCAGGGTGCGTCACTCCAGAACTGCCACTTCCCTCTGGTGGTCAATGCACATCATAGCAGCTGGTTGGACGGTAGGAGGGACACCTAGCATAATAGCCTTATATATATATATAGATAGAGGCCCAGTGCATGACATTCGTACATGGTAGAGTCCCTAGCAGTTGCTGGCTCCCAGCGGGCCTCCCTTCCCCAGCGGCCAGGTGCCGACAGGGCCTCCCTTCAGCCCACGTCATAGCAAGCAATCGAACTCCTGGTCGAACTCCCGAGGGGACACTTTGTGTATTAGGCTTTTATAGAGAGAGAGATAGTGAATTAGTAAATCAGATTTCTAGAGATGAGACTTAAACGTGTGAGATAAGCATGTCTGGATGGGATTACAGATCACACATCAAAGAAAAGATTTATGAACTTAAAAACATCAATGGAAACTATCCAACACAAAAAACAAGATTGAAAATCAATCAATCAACAAAAGTAAAGTATCAGTAAGCTGTGGGAACTTCCAGGCCTCCTGGATTCAGGTCAGTGGGCTCCATGAGGAAGTGGGGGGAGGAGACAGAAAATTAATTGAATGAAATTTGATGGAGGGGGGAGGGGTGGAGAGGGCAATAGCGGGCGTATGTAATACTTTCAATAATAAAGATTTATTTTTTTTAAATTTGATAAAAAATCTAAACCCAAGAAGCTCTATGAGCTAAAGCACGAGGAGCATGGAGAAAGCTGTACCACAGGGTCCTCCTCCAATTGCTTAGAAACGGGCTCAGAGAACACCTCCAGCGGCCGGAGAAAAGGGACCGCTGTGGCCAGAGGCCCAGACATCGTGAAGGCAACTTCCCGTCCAAACGGTCGTTCCATCGGGACACCGAGGAGGAGGGGTTTCATGGTGTTTGTATCTCTTTAAGGGCGGTGGCCATTTAAACAAAAGCAATAATGAATGTGGGTCCATGCCATACCCAACAGTAAAAGGCATCATGGTGACAGCATAGAGGCCCAAGGAGAGGCGGAGCTGTCCTTCCAGGCCGTGATGTGAGACACCCACAGACGGATGGACAGACGGAGGCCGGCCCGCAGGGCGCACCCCGCACCAGCACTGAGCCGCTCCCGAGCGAGGCCGGGGATGGGGCGCAGAGAGGTCTGTGAGGTCATCATGCCACCAGCCACAGCCTTGGGACAGGCGTTTTTGCATAAATAAACAAAATTATTCCAAAATTCAGAGGGCAATGCAGAGATCCCCGAACAGCCTAGCAACCTGGAAAAGCAGGTCACGGCCGGCCCCCTTCTGAGAGTTCTCACACGGGCACAGGCTCAGCTGGGCAGGGCCCCTCAGCCGCAGGGGAAGGACCAGCTGGGGCTGGCGTCCTGCATCCCAGTGGGTCCTGGGACCAGGATGAGCCATGGCCCCGCACCCACGCGGCATTCATCGGCAGCACCGGGGGACCCAGCCGAGAC